CGAGTCATATTGAACAGGATTGGCAGAACACTAGATGAAGGACAACCATGTGAGAAAGCCGGGTTCCGCAAAGGATTCAGCACCATGATAACCAAGCTCATTGAGGCTTCTCGGGAGTTCAAGATGCCGCTCTAACGTTCATTGATTTAAAGAAGGCCTTTGATTCTGTCAAGACGGAAGTGGTCATTGAAGCCCTAACCAATCAAGGCATTCAAACTCAATACATCAGGATCCTCTGTGAGCTGTATTACGGATTCACTACCAGGATCTCACCATTCTACAAAGAAGTGATCATCCATGTCAAGAGAGGGGTTCAGCAGGGTGATAGCATTTCACCGAAACTCTTCAGTGCCACCCTCGAGAACGTCATGCGATGACTAGAATGGGAAGGAATGGGAATAAAGATAGATGGTTGGCAACACCACCTCCGCTTTGCTGATGACATTGTTCTAATAACACCAAACATTAGCCAAGCAACACAAATGCTGGCCAACTTCGACTGTGAGTGTGGAAAGGTCGGACTACAGCTGAATCTCACGAAGACAATGTTTATGAGAAACGGTCTCATTTCTGATGCTCCATTTGCTCTCAACAGAACGAACATCTCCGAATGCAATGGTTATGTGTACCTAGGTCAAGAAGTCAACATGATGAATGACCTGGCACCTGAGTTGCGCAGGAGGAAGAGCGGCTTGGAACGCCTTCAAGAGTGTCGAAGAAATGGCTAAGAGGATGAGGAACCTCCCGTTCCAGGCACATCTCTTCGATTCCACTGTTCTTCCTGCATTAACATATGCCTCAGAGACCTGGGCCCTACAAAAACAGGATGAGACCGCTATTCAGGTCTCCCAAAGAGGAATTGAAAGAATTATGCTTGGAGTATCATGCTTCACTCAAATGAGAGAAAGAATCTGGAGTTCCGACCTCCGTCAACGCTCAAAAATCAGGGATGCTGTCTCGTTTACCAAGGCATCGAAAATCAGATGGGCTGGACACGTAATGAGATTTGGAGACCACTGGACCAGAGCTGTTACCGACTGGATTCCCTGGGATGTCAAAAGATGGTGTGGCCGCCCACCTACGAGATGGTCAGACTTCTTCATCAAGATTTTTTTTTTTTTTGCATGTAAGATAGCTCAAGGGTGAAGGCATTTGCCTTGTATGCAGCCAACCCTGGTTGGATTCCTTGCACCACACGGTCCCCTGAGCATTGAAAGGCGTGGCCTTTGAGCTTTTCCAGGACAGCCAGGTGCTTCCCATCATCACAGGACCAGCACGGAACAGCATCCTTGGCCCTTAGTGACCCCCTCCCCACTCCACTGGGCCACACCTGGCAATGTGCAGGGCTTACTCTAGGCTCTGCACTCAAAAATGACTCCTGATGGTGCTCAGGGGACCATCTGGGATGCCGGGGATCAAACCCAGGTCAGCCCTGTACAAGACAAATGCCCTCCCTACTGGACTATCCCTGAGCAAATGACCAATGACCCCTGAGCACAGAGCCAGGAGTAAGACCTGAGCACCACAGGGTGTGGCCCAAACACACACACACACACACACACACACACACACACACACACACACACACACACAACAAAAACAAAGTAGATTTCCAAGGAGGCATGGGATTTTTAAAAATACTTATTCCTGGGGGCTGGAGCGATAGCACAGTGGGGAGGGCATTTGCCTTGCACGTGGCTGACCCGGGTTGGATTCCCAGCATCCCATATGGTCCCCTGAGCACTGCCAGGAGTAATTCTTGAGTGCAGAGATAGGAGTAAACCTTAAGCGTCTCTGGGTGTGACCCAAAAAGCAGAAAAAAGAAATTTTTTTTATTACTGTAGAAGGTCAATAGGCCAAGTGCCTTTGGGGCTGGTGGAAAGTGTGTGAAACCATGTCACATCCTGTAGCGGCAGGGACCCTTGTGAGGCTGGGCCTTCTAAAATTTTCCACTCACCACCTGTTTCTTTCTTTCTCTTTCTTTTTTTTTTTTTTTTTGCTTTTTGGGTCACATTCGGTGATGCACAGGGGTTACTCCTGGCTCTGCACTGAGGAATTATCCCTGGCAGTGCTCAGGGGATCATGTGGGATGCTGGGAATCGAAACTGGGTCAGCCGCGTGCAAGGCAAACACCCTACCCGCTGTGCTATCACTCCAGCCCCATCACCACCTGTTTCACCTCAGAAATTTTCATGCAGTTGTCAGAGCAATAGTACAATGGGTAGGGTGCTTGCCTGGCATGTATCCGATCTGGGTTTGATCCCCAGCATCCCACATGGTCCCCCGAGCACCACCAGGAGTGAGTCCTGAGCACAGAACCAGGAATAACCCCTGAGCATTTGAGAATTGTGGCTGAAACCAAACAAAACCCAAAAACAAAACAATTTGTGTGTGTGTGTGTGTGTGTGTGTGCAGGAGCCCAAGTGGTAGTACAGCAAGCAGGTAGGGTGCTTTCCTTCATGCAGCTAACCTGGGTTCAATCCCCGGCACCCCATGCCCCATATGGTCCCCCTGAGCTCCAACAAGAGTAATTTCTGAGTGCAGAGCCAGGAGCAACTCCTGAGCATTGCTGAGTGTCTGCCCCTACACACACACACACACACACAAATGAAATTTTCATGCAATTCCAGGTATATATACAATACGGATCCATGTCACACACACATACACACACACACCCAAAAATGAAATTTTCATGCAATCCCAGATATATAGATATATACAATACAGACCCACGTCACACACACACACACACACACAATTTTCATGCAATCCTAGGTATATAGATATATACAATAGGCACCCACATCACACACACACACACACACACACACACACACCAAAAAAGAAATTTTCATCCAATTCCAGGTATGTAGATATATACACCCGCATCAAATGTTGACTGATCATCCATCAGTTTATTTGAAAACTTTTAGGTTATGTGACCCCATCTGGCGTGTCACGTAGTTTAAGCAGCTGGAGACTAGAGCAGTTTCTCCAGAGACGCCCTCTCTCCACCCGTTCCTCCTCCCCCTCCTGGCCCCTGGTCTTGTACTGTGCCCCCACCCGCTTATGTGATTTTCACCTGTGGCCCCTGAGAATATCCAGGGGAACCATATGGCCCCTGGTTGAGGAATGCTGGTCTAGAGTATCTGAACTTTATGCAGAGAAACAGGAAGAATGCAGCTTTAGGGCCCAGAGCGATCGTACAGCGTCTGCCTTGCACGGGACCCATTGGGGTTTGAAACCCGGCAGGCCGAGTGATGCCCGAGTGCAGAGCCAGGAGTAGCCCCTGAGCGCCGCTGGACGTGGCCCCCAAACCAAACCAGACCCCAGACCAGCAAATTCAGTGGGACCCCAGGACCCCCCACCCTACCCCACCCCAAGGGCAGAATCTGCATGTTGTCCCAGCACCTAGCCGGGGATTTAGAGCCCTACCTGACGTGGGAGAGAACAGGACATGAGCCAAGTCTGGGCTTGGGGGTCCTATAGCAGCTGGTCCTAAGGGTCAGAGGTGATCAGCCCCAGGATAGGCTTGGTGGGGCTAGGGACCGGTGTGTGGGGTTGAGGGTGTCTTGGGGATGGCTGACCTGGGGGTTCGGGTCACACGTGTCTGGGCCTTCGGAAGAGGTAATTGAGGCTTTGAATGTGTAGGCGCTTGTTGGGGTGTGGGGATGGGGTGTGCCTTGAGGTGAACCAGAGAGGGACAGAACTCACCAAGGGAGAGTGTGGCGGGCGGGGGGACTGTCCAGCGAGGAAGGTCACCTGGGGGGAAAGCCCCGAAGTCACTGAGGCAGGACCTCCTGTGTTAGACGCATGTGGGGGAGACCTGGGCAGCCCTGCCCTGTGGTCAGCTGTCGGTGAGACTGGAGTGGACTCAGTGTGGGGATAGGGGTCCTGGCACCCCCCGCCCCACGGGGCTTGGCGTGGACAGGGAAGGATGAGTGGGGGTTGTCTTTCGGGTTCGCTTGGTCTGGGGGGAGTGGTCCCGGCAGAGCGTGGGCAGGGCACCGCTGCCTGTGGTGCTCGGGGAACCAGGCGGTGCCAAGCCTGCGTCGGCCTGAGCCCTCTGCCCTGGGGGACGCCCCCTCCCTGAGCACCCCTGGCCCAACGGGCCGGGACAGAAACCGGGACTTCCTCTGGTTCCTTCTTGCTTTATTCGGACCCATCCTCGTTCCAGAAGGAACCGTTGCTCAGCACGACCCGAAGCGCAGGGACCCGCGACCCTGAAGCAGGCCTCACCCTCCCCTCCCTGGCTGAGGTCAGTCCGGGGTGGGGTAAGACGGGGCGAGTCCATCTCGCAAGCCATGTGGCCAGGCTGAGACGTCCTGGCGGAGCACCTTGGCGGAGCCGAGACGGAAGGTGCCCGAATCAGGCCTGCACTGTGCAGTCGGCTCGGTATTGGGGTTCGGGGCGGGGGTCTCCCTGGGGGCACCGGCAGATCCCCCTCCCGGCAGCAGGCTTGGTTCCTGGGCAGCCCCCCTCAGCAGGCTCGGTTGGGGTGGGGTGGGGGGTCTCTGCAGGCACCAGCAGGCTCAATTTGGGGGTGAGGGGCTCCCTGAGGGACTCCGGCAGGCCTCCTCCCTGCGGATCTTCCGGGGGCATTTGGTTCCTGCCCCAAGGGGGCAAAAAACATCTTCCTGCCTCGGGACGGGTTCTATGCGGTGGCCAATGGGAATATTTTGGGGGGTCCTCCGCCCAACTCCTCGGAACTCTTGCGGGCACTGCGCAACGCGGACACCCACCCGAATGGGGAGACACGGCACGGGGGGGGGCTCCCCTTGCCTGGGGGGGGGGATCCAGTGTTGACAGCAGAGAGACTCAGGGTGGGCAGGGGCAGAGAAAAGTGCTGGGACCCGGGCACAGCGTGGCCCTCCTCCGAGAGGGGGGTCTTCCTGGTCCACGTAGGCGTGTTGGGGCTCAGAGACCCGGGGACGAGCGCCCCGCACTTGGCACAGTGTTCTCATCAGCAGGACGGGGAGGGGGGTCCCGGGGGCCCCTCACACGCAGCCGTACTCATACCACACGGTCTGGGGGTCCCCGCCCGGCTCCGGGGATGCAGGGATGCTGCGAGCGCTGCCCTCGCGGCCCAGGTCCTCGGGGGGCCTCTGCGCCGGGAGCCCCTCGCTGGGGCCCCGATCACCGTCAGCGCGCACCGGGGCCACCGTAGCGACGTCCCCCGCGTGCACGGGTGCTGGGGTCCGAGTCCTGGTGGCCAGGGCGGGGGCCGTGGCCGAGGGCGGCAGAGTGGCCGGGCGCTCCTCCTTGGGGGGGGCCAGAGAGAAGCGTCTCGTGTCCGGCGGTCGGCTGCGGGGACTCGGGCATGCGCCCCCTGCCCGCCCCTGGGGAGTCCGCTCCCGGGCCAGGCTCTGGGCCCCTCCGGTGTCTCGGGGTCCCTCCGGCCTCAGGGGCGGTTCGGGTGGGCCAGGCTCAGGCCCCAGGGCCCGGAGCAGGTCGGCCGAGGCCAGGCTGAAGGCCCGGCTCAGGGACTTGCTCCGGCCTGCCGCGGCCGGGGGTCGGGGGGTTGGCCGGGCCCGGCCCAGGGTCAAACTCTGGGGGTGCTGGGCCGGCCTGGACTGGGCAGAGGGGGGCACCTCGGCCTCCGGGGGCCGCACGTTCGGCTTCACGCACTGCCCCGGCTTCTGCAGCCTCCCCTCCGAGGGCCCGGCGGGGGCTGCCTTGGGGGTGGGGGCCACCAGGCTGGTGGGCATCTTGGCACCGTCCCTCCGGGGCGGTGGGCCCCGCTGGCCCCCTGCGGCAGGGCCGTCGTGAGCCCTTCGGAAGTAGTCACCAAGCAGGTCCTCCTGGCAGCCGGGGGTGTCCTGCAGGGGAGAGGACAGCTGAGTGGGCTTCGAGGGGCAGGGGGAGTCCCACCTGCTCCCAGGGGACCCGGCAGTGCCACCTACCCAGCCGGCCTGGGGCGGGCGGGGAACGGGAGCCACACGCAGGGCGAGCACGCCTGGGTTCCCATCCGAGCACTGGACTCGGAGCCTAGCAAATCTGCAGCAATGTGTGCAGTCTAACCGTGAAGGCTGCTCCCACCCCGTCCCAGCCCTTCCCTCCCCTCCTCTTCTCCTACCCCCTCCCTCTCCCTCCTTCCTCTTGCCTCCCTCTCTCCCTCTACTCCTCTTTCCTCCCCTCCCCCCTGCTCTTCTCTCCCTCTCTCACCCCTGCTTCTCTCTCCTCCCCCCCCCCCACTTCTCTCTCCCCCCCTCCCCCCCTGCACGTACAGCTTGAGGAAGGCTCTGTGAAGGAAACAAGCCACCACCCCTTATTCCAAGCCAGCGCCAGCTGCTGCCCGTCTTAACCCTGCAGAGCCCGAGCTGGGCAGAGACTTCCCGAGAGTGGCCCCGGGCACCCCTCAGCCCCCCGGCAAAGCTGGGGCATCCCTCTCTGCAGAGAGTGTCCGAGAACACTCAGCCAAGGTGAGGAGGTGGTCCTTGAGGACAAAGTCTTGGACAGGGGACTGATGTGTCACGTGGCCCAGAGAGAGGGCGCCGTCACCTCCCAGCCTGGTCCATGGAAATGGGGGCGGGAAGGGGGTGCCCATGCCCCAGTGCTCGGCAAAGCCCTGCAGGCTGAGCCTCAGCTCAGTGGGCACCAAGGACCGTGCCCCGCACCCTGGTACCTGCAAGGGCCCTTGGCCCCCTGGAAAAGGCCCTGGGGCTCGGGCGACAGACGGCAGCTCTGGGGGGGCCCCTTCCCCTGCTCACCAAGGTGGGAGCCGCCCGGTTGCTCTCCTCCAGGAACTCCTCCAGGGTGACCATCTCGCTGCTGGGTGAGACTCGTGCTGGGCTGGGCTGCCCTGGGGCCGTGCCCCTCTTCTGCGGGCCTTCCAGGGCGGGGGGCCCGTTCCAGGGCAGGGTCTGCTGGGGGCGGCCGCGGGCGGGCCGGGACGGGGTGCTGGTGTCCCGGGGGAGCGTGCCCGTGTCCCGGCTGGGGATCAGGTCTTCACTGCTGAAACTCTCGGACCTGGACCTGCCGTGGGGCGGCTCAGAGGAACCTGGTGGGGTTGGGGGAGGGGTAGAGGTGCAGCCGTGAGGCGCTCACTGGGCCTTCAGCAGTGGCCAGAGCACTGGACACGCAGAGGGCCAGTGCACAGCCCGATCACCAACCTGCCTTCCAGGCCAAGCAAGAACATGTCCCTGGGGCTGGGAGGGCACTGGCCTCACACATGGCTGGCCAGGTTTCATCTCCACCATCCCACAGGGTCCCCTGAGCACCGCCAGGAGTGACCCCTGAGCACAGCTGCACCCCAAATAAATAAAGAGAGTGGGAGTACCATAACTGGGATATAATGAACAAAAACAGGTGCTGGAGCGATAGGACAGCGGGGAGGGTGTTTGCCTTGCATGCAGCCAACCTGGGTTCAATTCCCAGCATCCCATATGGTCCCCCGAGCACAGCCAGGAGCAATTCCTGAGTGCAGAGCCAGGAATAATCCCTGTGCATTGCTGGGTGTGACCCAAAAAAAGCACACACACACACAAAAAAAAAATGAAAGAAAGAAAGAAAAGAAATGGTTGGAGTGATAGCACAGCGGTAGGGTGTTTGCCTTGCACGCGGCTGACCCAGGTTCGATTCCCAGCATCCCATATGGTCCCCTGAGCACCGCCAGGAGTAATTCCTGAATGCAGAGCCAGGAGGAACCCCTGGGCATCGCTGAATGTGACCCAAAAAGCAAATTATAAAACAAAAAAAAAAACCCAGAAAATGTGGCCCAGGCAGGGGTGGGGGTGCCTTCCGGGGCTGGCAGGAGGCAATGAGGGAGAAAACACCCAAGAGTTTGAGGTCCAGGAGGCGGCGGCAGGCAGGTGAAGTGCTGGGGAAACACGACCCTCTGTGTCATGGCACAGCTGGGCACTGGCGCTCCAGACTGTGCCCAGGGCTCCCCTGCTGCCGTCCACACCCACCTCCCACGGAACCCTGACCCAGGGGCCGGGAGGAAGGAGGCTGGGAGCCCTCGGACCCAAGCCCACGGGTGACACGGCACATTCATCACAGCAGCTGAGAAACCGGCTTCTCTTGTGTTTGCTTTTTGGTTCACACTCGGCGATGCTCAGGGGAAAGTTCCTCCTGGCTCTGCACCACTCAGGAATTACTCCTGGCGATGCTCGGGGGACCATATGGGATGCTGGGGATGAACCCAAATTGGCCACATGCAAGGCAAACGCTCTACCTGCTGTGCTATCGCTCCAGCCATTTCTTTCTTTATTTCTTCTCTTTTTTTGTGTGTGTATGTGCTTTTTTTTGGGTCATACCCGGTGATGCTCAAGGGTTACTCCTGGCGGTTGCTGGGGGTGGGAAAATGACCATATGGGATGCCAAGGATTGAACCCAGGCGGGCCGCATGTAAGGCAAACGCCCTACTCGTCCAGCCATTTCTTTCTTTTTTTTTTTTTTTTTTTTTTTTTGCTTTTTGGGTCACACCCGGCAATGTACAGGGGTCACTCCTGGCTCTGTGCCCAGGAATTACCCCTGGCGGTGCTCAGGGGACCATAGGGATGCTGGGAATCGAGCCCGGGTCGGCCGCGTGCAAGGCAAACGCGCTACCTGCTGTGCTATCGCTCCAGCCTCGTCCAGCCATTTCTTAACTGTGCAGTCTGGGTCCTAAGCCAGCAGCACCCAGAGTGACCTCTGGCCGGGGATTCGACCCCAAGGCTGCAGCTGCAGTAGCAGGGCCAGAGCCCCCTGGACCACGTCTCGGCTCTAGGGGCAACGAGGGGTCCTGGGTTAGGTGGGAGGGAAGCCTCCGCCCGATGGGTTCCCATTGCTCTCCTAGCTGCTGGGTCTGGGGTCCCATCTAACCCCTGGGGCCCCAAGGAGGGACTCAGAGCCATGCCACGAGCCCTGGAGCAGGGGGCGTCAGACCCTCCTACTGACCCTGGCACAGTGGGGGCCTCCCAGCTGGGAGCCCGGGACTGATAGGAGCGGGGTGCCCTCCATTACTGCCGTAGCAGAGACCCCCCAAGCCTCCTGGCCAACCATTCTCTTTTAGAAAAAAGAAGCGACCCTGAAATCGGCCGTATGCCCTGTCCCCAAGGTCCTGGGGTCTGAAAGACACAGATGCCTTTGGAGGAGACGGCACTCAGCTTTCTGAAATGGAGAGGGATACCCCTGCTGGACACCCCCAGGGACCCCGGAGTGGGGGGGCAGCAGTGGACACTGGGGTGCTACACTGTCCCCCCAGACCCAGGCACTGGCTTTTCCTGGTGTCCTTCCAGCTGCTCCTGTATTTCCCTCTGACTGACCAGCGCCCCAAAGGAAGCCTCCCCTTTCCTGCCACCTGCTACCTGGGGAAAGGATGTGTGTGGGGGATCCGGGGAGGATCAGGACCTGCCCCTTCTGCACGTGCCTGGTGCTGTGCGCCCATGTCCAGGGAGTTGGGGAGCGTGTGGGGGCACTGTCACTGTACCCCACCTCCCCAGGAAACTCTGCTCTCAGCTTATGGTCTCCAGGGAGCCCTGAGCGTCCCTGAGTGAATGCGGAGCACCCAGCGCCCTTATCAACAAAGAGGGTTCAGGGCGAGCCCCCAAAAACAGCCGAACAAGGCCCCTCCCTCAGAGGGACAATTTGAACAGGAAAAGGCGCATCTCTCCTGGTGCAGGAAAGAGGGTTCACTACAGGGCATCGGGGCACCAGAACAGTGGGACCCCCCCAACACCTGTTTATTCCCAGAGGCAGTGGTGGAGGGTCTGGACACTTTGAGGGCTGATGGGATAGTGACTTTGTACATAACATAACACCGTAAACACGAGCTCTATTGTAACCACATTGCCTATACTATAATAATAAAAAAGTGTGTGTGTATATATGTGTGTGTGTATATAATATGCACACACATAACATATATATATATACATATAGCACTGTCCTTGTCCTCCCATTGTTCATCAATTTGCTCCAGCGGGCACTAGTAACATCTTACAACAAATTGTAAGACTTGTTACTGTTTTCGGCATATCCAGTACTTCTGGCTAGATATTCTAGCCAGGCTTTGCGGTGCAGGCGAGATACTCTTGGTAGCTTGCCAGGCTCTCCGAGAGGGGCGGAGGAATCGAACTCGGTTCAGCCATGTTGGCTGCGTGCAAGGCAAATGCCCTACCCACTGTGCTATCGCTTCAGCACATATACACACATATATATGTACACATATGTACACACACACACACACACACACACACACACACTTTTAAAAAGCACATGTTTATGGGGCTGGAGTAATAGTACAGTGGGTAGTGTGTTTGCCTTGCATGTAGCTGACCAGGTTCAATTCCCAGCATCCCATATGGTCCCCTGAGCACCGCCAGGAGTAATTCCTGAGTGCATGAGTCAGAAGTAACCCCTGAGCATTGTCAATGTGATCCAAAAAGCAAAAAAAAAAAAAAAAAAAAAAAAACCCAAAAAAAAACACCATCTGTTTAATGGGGCTAGAGCGACAGTCCAGCGGGTAGGGTGCTTGCCTTGCACGTGGCTGACCCGGTTTAATCCACAACACCCCACATGGTCCCCCTCAAGCACCGCCAGGACTGACCCCTGAGCGCAGAGCCAGGAGTAAGTAAGCCCTGAGCGCAGCCGGTGTGACCCCAAAACCAAGTTAACAAAAAATAAAAAAGCACCTCTTTCTTCAAGCCCTTTGAAGCTAAACTCTTTGTGTACACACACACACACACACACACACACACACACACACACACACCTGCCCCCTGGGGCAGAAAATGAGAACCCCGCCCACCTTCGCTGATGCGGGCATCAGGCTCTGCTCTGATGCAGGCCCTGCAGGAAAGGCCTCCAGCCCCCTGAGCCCAAACGGGCCCCCACCTTTCTGCCTGTACCGTGAGTGGGCACCTGGCATTACAGGGGCATTACCAACCGGGTCATCGAGGCGGGCTCCTGCACGCAAAACGGAATCCAAGGGACTCTGGCAGAGCCCACCCGGCACCCTGGCCCCCACCCGCAAATGGGGTCCTTGCACCCCTCCAAAATGTGTGCTTTTCACAGCAGCTTGGAAGTCCCAAGAAAGCTGGCTTCCTTTCTGCAGGGATTCAGGAGCTGAAAATCCGATGGGAAACATGTCTCCGCTGGGTACCACTAAGCTCCAGGGAGGCCAGGGAGGGGCCTCCTCGCAGGGAGAGCTTCCGGGGAAGGGGGCATCTGAGCAAACCCAATGGGCCCTCGAGAGCGAGGGGAGGCCTGGAGCTGGTGACCCGCCACGTCTCTGGAGGTATGTGAGCAAGAGTCGCATGTCCAGGTCCTGGAGACGCGCGCGTGCGCACGCACGCACGCCCACCTGCCCGCCCGCACACCCCGGTTCCCCCACCCACAGGCCCCAGCGAGTCCAGCCCTGCCACTCACCCAAGTGCCTGTGGTTGATGAATTCCAGCTCGAGCGATGGGTCGCACAGGCTGTCGTCTGAGTTAGAGCCTGCGGGGAGAATGAGGCTGAGGAGTCGGGGGTCCCGGGACCTCCCTTGGGGCGTGGAGGGCGGGTGGGTGGTGCTTCTGGCTTCCACCTCTACGGCCCTGTGCCCAGACCGGACTACATACTCCATCACCCTGGGAGACACTGAGGGGCGGGGGGGGCCTGAGCCCCCAGGCCACACCATCAGCATCCAGACCCAGGGGGGTGCGTGGGGGCGCGCCCACTCCCACCCACAGGAACACAGCACGATCCCCGGCCATCCAGCCTGGACACCATGACCAGACACATGTCCACTCAGTGCGTCTCGTCCTGGGGATGCCACCTGCTTGTGGACAGCAGGACAGGGTGGTGCCTGCCCAGGGCTCCAGCGTCAAACAGATGGAACCGGAAAATGCCACAGTCCTTCTCGTTCTCTGCCGCTTCTTTTTTGGGAAGTAAAACAGATTTTATTTGGAGGGTTTTTGAAGGTGTGGAGGGGGAGAGAGAGAGTAATGTGCTCAAGAGAGAACTTTGGGCACAGCGGGGAGGGCGTTTGCCTTGCACTAGGTGGAGCCGGGGTCGAGTCCCAGCATCTCATATGGTCCCCCAAGCACCGCCAGGAGTGATTCCTGAGTGCATGAGCCAGGAGTAACCCTTGTGCACCGCCGGGTGTGACTCAAAAAGCAAAAAAAAAAAAAAAAAAAAACCCACGAGAGCACCAGGGCTTCTCCAAGGGCAGAGGGCAGAGATCCCTAAACACATCCCAGCATTAGACAGGAAAGCATGAAAGTACACATCTCAAGAGGGGAGATGCGGGTGACACATGTGCTCGGGTATGACATGTGCTTGGCAACGTGGGCATAAGCAGCACATGGGCTCGGGCAGCATCTGCGCTCTCTACCGCTTTGACTGGCCAGGTGCGGCCACTTCTGGTTCGAGGCTGTTCCCTGGCCCATTCCTCGGCCTGTTGGCAACGAACCCAGTCTGGTCCCTTCTTCCCTCTCTGTCTGCACATTTTTTTTTCCTTTTGGGTCACACCCAGTGAAGCTCAGGGGTTCCTCCTGGCTCTGTACTCAGGGATAACTCCTGGCGGTGGTCGGGGTACCCTATGGGATGCCAGGGATCGAACCTGGATCAGCTACATGTAAGGCAAATACCCTCCCTGCTGTGCCCCTGCCCCGTTCTGTTGTTGTTGTTTTCCGGCATTGTTCTTTCTTGGTAGAAACCTCATTTTGAAGCAATTGAGTTTCGAGGGTCCTGCCCTTTGGGAGAAGGACAGTGTGGCGTCCAGTTCGGGGGCCCCGCACATGCCCAAAGTGTGTCTGTGTGACGTCTCGCCCAGGCTGCTGGCCTTTTTCAGCTCTCTGGGTGCCACACGTGTTTCACAAATGACGGCAAGGGCGTTTGGGGCCGGGCATGACGTTGGGTGTAGACTCGCATGGTTGAGCTCTGTAGGGTCCCCGGTCACTGCACCTCCGGACCTGCCCCCCCACCCTCCCCCAATAAACAACCAAGCACAGAAACACCAGCCTCGTCGGGTGCAAGCCTGCCAGCCGGCCACCCTGTCCTGTCTCTGTCCTTGGGGCACTTGCACTGAAGCTAATCCGAGGTACCACCGTCTAGGGCCCACAAGGAGAGTGCGGGGCATTCCTGGACCAGCTGGGCCGCTGACCTTCCCCAGAGCCCCTGTCTCGTCCCCTCCAGAGGGCGGCCTGCATGGGGCTCCCGCTCTGGTTCTTGAGCCTTCTGGAACCTTCAGGTGCAGCCTGTTTCCATGGGCCGCGGCTTTCCTCCCCCAGCGCTTCGGGATGGGCAATACTGCCCACCCAGAGTCACAGGTGGGTGGCCCACACCGCGGCCCCAGCCTGAGTCTCTGGTGTTGGATTCTGTTCCTGGTTCCACTGAGGCCCCCTGGGAAGGACGAGAACCTCGGGCCCGTGGGCGGGGAGACCCCTGCTATCCCACTCACCTTTGTAGCGGCCTGGCTGCCAGGGTCCGGGGATGCAACCGGAGGGGGGTGAGGTGGTGGTGGAGGCAGGGCAGCTCCGAGAGCCAGGTCCCACGGGCCAGGTCCTCGTGGCCAGCTCGGTGGGGACCTCGGGGCGGTCAAGGCTGGCGCTGTGTGGGGAAGCCCGCTTGGGTTTGGGGTCTCCGGGGCCTGGGGCACAGAGAAAAGTCTTGAGACACGGGGCCAAGCCTGGGTGACCACACAGAGGCCAGGAAGCAGGGCAGCAAGGACACAGACCACAGAGACAAGGCCGGGCCAGGCCCTCCACCCGGGGGGCACCGGAGAGGCAGGCGGGTCCCTACCTCTGGTGATGCTGATGACGGCTGGGGACAGGGGCGGGGAGACTCGGAAGAGTTGGCAAGGCAAAGGTGCCCCCCGAGTCTGTCTCACACCAAAGGGGGAGACGCCCCACTGACCAAGGTCCTCCCTGACCTACTGGTACCCCACGGGCTTCGCTCACGGCTCTTGAGAAGCAACCAGCACCCTCACGACTCATTCTGAGGAGCTCGACCTGGCCTGCGGGGGAATCTACCTCATATTTTCTTTCTTTTTTTTTTGCTTTTTGGGTCATACCTGGTGATGCTCAGGGTTTCCTCCTGGCTCTGCACTCAGGAATTACTCCTGGCGGTGCTCGGGGGACCCTATGGGATGCTGGGGATCGAACCCGGGTCGGCCGCGTGCAAGGCAAACACCCTACCCACTGTGCTATCACTCCAACCCTTGTACCTCATGCTTTGCTGCCTCTGAGCTTCCTTCCGGGAGCTCCCACAGCTACAGGATGAGACAAAAGCTTAGACGTGAGGACGCAGAGCCAGGGCTGGCCCCCGCCACGACGGCTGGGGGCAGAAGTGCTCCTGGTGACATCAGGGCACCCCGCGGGGGCCCGGGCAGGAGCCCGGGGTGCAGCTCGGGCCCCTCCAAGGCTCCTGGGGCGCCCGCATCTGCTCACGGGGGCTTTGCGGGATGGCCTGGGTGACAGCCTGGTCTGGCAGGAAGAGCTGCAGAGGCGTTGACAAAGGTGTGAGCTAGAAGCAGGCGAGCAGGGGCCAAGCCGACAAGGAGCAGGAGGCGGAAGCAGCGAGTCCCACAGCTTGCTGGCCGGAGGGGTGACACCAGGTCTGGGTGCCCGGGGCGGAGGCGGGAAGTGCCACTTGGGCATGTTTTTCTTTTTGGTTCGGAATCCACATCTGGCTCTATACCAGGGGCCACGCCTGGCTCTATACCAGGGGCCACGCCTGGCTCTGTGCCCAGGGGTCACTTTTGATGGTGTTCAGGGGCTTCGCCTGGTAGCGCCAGGAACTGAACCAGGGTCACGGCTACAGGCTACAGTAGCTACAGGCCAGGCTAGTGCCTTAACCTTAGCACTATCTCTCCGGCCCACCCTGGGCACTGTGACCGGCTGGGAACGCTGGTTCCAGAGCCAGCTCCAGAGGGCAACGCTGGGTTCTCTTCCAGGCGCCAACAGCCGTCTTGAAGTCAGCAAGGGGAGTTCTAGCGAAGGCCGGCTCTGTTCTTGGGGAAAGCGCACAGCGACACGATGGTTCGGTGACAATCATGCAGGGGAAGGAGAATGACAGAGACAGACCAACGGGCAGTAGCTAAAGGCCTCTACGGACGGTGGCTGCCCCGGGGCGGGCTCTGGGCCCTGGGCCCTGAGGGGAGGGGTCTCAGTGCGGTCACACAGCTATCTCATCCATCCCATCACTGGACACGCGTGAAGCGGGTCCTTCCAAACCCAGGACACCTCTGAAAAGGGCCTTGTCAGCCAAAGCCAACGACCAGGGACACTGACTGACGAGGCAGCAGGGAAGGACATGAGGTCTCGAGGCAGTGGCCTGCGAATCTGTCTCTGCAGACCGACCTCACGCCGACGGGGGCGGTGTATTTTAGAGAGCATAGCGACAGCTGGTCAGTTCTGCTGGACACACGGGCGGGGGCAGGAAGGGCGTCACACAAGCCTGCAGGCGCGAGGGCCGCGGGGCAACTCGTGGCCACTCAGACTTACTCAGTAGGGACATCCCGGCCCCAGGCCCCGTGTCCAGGGGAGCTGGGGCGGCCCCTAAAACTGCCTCGGAGGAACGATGCAGAGGGTGGGAGAGAGGCCGTCTTCTCGTTGGAACTCAGAATCCACGCCGGCCACTGGGGGGGTGCCTGGGCACTGGGGTCAGGAGGAGGGTCCGCTATGGGTCAGCTGGCCTTTGGGTACCGCACACGTCTGGTGTTTTTTTGTTTTTTTTTTTTGGTTTTGTTTATTTTTAAAGATGTATTTGTGGTTGATGGGTGAGTTTCGGAAATGGAGGTGGAGTCAGATGGAGATGTTGTGATGAGAGTTTTTTAGCGAAGGCAGAAATCAGAAGTGTCCGATTTCTGAGAAAGGGGGAGGCTCGTGAGGGGAGGGCGGGCCGTCAGAGGAGGACCAGAACCGCAGGCGTTTAGAGAGAGCCGGTGGGGGTGGGGGCGTTGCTGGTTTGTCTTTGTCTTTGCTTTTGCTCCTCAAAAAAGGACTGTTTTTGCGCAGATTGGCTAAATTGTTATCACCCGGATAACCCAGAGGAGGAAGGGGGGAAAAAAAAAAACAACATCACGTGAATGGAATGAACAGTGAACAACAAATGACTCTCAGTGACCCTCTGAGCTCAGCGGACTTAAGATTTTGGGATCCCTGCCCTGGAGATGGGCTGGTGACTCAGAGCCCAGCCAGGGACCCTCTGGGCTCTGGCTGGCTCAGTACATCCAAGGGGACCTTAGCACCAGGCTGGCCTTCCGTTCCCGGCACGCGAGGGGAGCCCCAGGCGGAGAGGCTGCATTCCCATCACCACAAACGCGATGTTCACGGAGCACCTGACTTCACCCTCATCCCCTTATAATTCCCCTCCTCCCACCCGAAGCACTCGGAATCCCTGAATGACGCCTGGTCGTGCCGAAGACCCGGGCCTGTGTCCTGTTCACTCACCGTCTTTCTGCGTGAGAAATGACTCAGTCACAGGGCAGGAAGTGCCGACAATAACAAAATCTTATTATTTTTTTTTTTTGCACCTGAGAACTTTCTTCATTTTGGGGGGTGGGGAGATGTTGGAGGGGACCCACCCACCTCCAGAGGAGCTCAGGGCTTGCTTACTCCTGGCAGTGCTCGATCACAGACGATGCTGGGGACTGAGCAGGGTTTGGGCAAGGCCAGCGAACGCCTGAGCCCATCCCCTCTCTGCCCCATAGGACCCTCCCCTGAGCCTCCTCCTGCATGTTCTCCACTCAATCTGACACTGCTTGGATTGAGAGGCTTGCTGGAGCCCACCATGAGCCTAACCTCACTCCTGACACGTGCTGGGGTGGGGCTGCGGGCAGGGGCGGGGACCACCTTTGCCCACTTCGGTGGCTGCTGGCCACTGGGTCGGTCACCGCTTCTTCCACAGCGCCACCTGGTGGTCAGCGCCCGCACGGCTGAATCAGGCAGGAAAAGTTTTTCAGGGGCTGCTGGGGGGGGGGGGGTCCCTCTCATGCGTTCTTCGCTCCCTCCCTCCTGCTCCCTCCTCACCTCTCCCCGCCACACCCCCACTCCTGGCCACCAGCATAAGGACAGTGACAGACAGATAGGACCTCGGAGACCCCTTTGCATTCTGCCATTTCCCTTGTTTGCAGCATGGAGGGCTGGACCCAGGGCGGTCACTCAGCCCCCGACCCTATTTCCTCCCACTTCTGTCTTTGGGCCACTGCGGGCAGTAGGGTGGCGGGATCACTCCTGAAAGGTGCCAGGGATGGAACTCAGCTGGGTGCCTGCCCTGCTCGGCTAAGCCTCTGGCCCACCATCTTCCTTTTGCGCTTGTTTCTGGGCTACTCCTGGCTCTGTGCTCGGGAGTCCCTCCTGGTGGAGCTGTACCTGGAGCCGAGGAGTGACCTGGGGCTGGCCACATTGACCCCTCGGGCCAGTTCTCCTGTGTATGCCAGGAAGAAGGCTCTAGGCAGGCTTGTTCTTCAAGCCCACGTTCTGGCCAGCTGGGCTCTGTGTTTCTCTGTACCTGTGCTGTCTTTCTGCTTTGGGCCACACCTGGCAATGCCCAGGGGTTACTCCTGGCTCTGCACTCAGGAATCACTCCTGGCAGTGCTTGGGGGGGACTCATGGGATGCCAGGGATTGAACCCAGGTTGGCCGTTACGTGTAAGGAAAACTCCTTACGCACTGTATACTATTGCTCTGGCCCTTGCCCTGTGTTCTCTCTTGAACCCACATTTCCCCTCTTTTCTCTTTTTTTAAAAAAATTCTTTATTTTTTTGTTTTGTTTTGCTTTTCTGGGTCACACCCCTTGATGCTCACTCGGGTTCCTCCTGGCTCTGCACTCAGGAATTACTCCTGGTGGTGCTTGGGGGACCACATAGGATGCTGGGAATTGAACCCGGGTCGGCCATGTGCAAGGCAAACTCCCTACCCGCTGTGCTATCGCTCCGGCCCCCCTCTCATCTCTTTCTAACCAAGTTTCATTTGATAAAAAAAACTCCCTTAATTCACTAAAAAAAAAAAAAAAAGAAAGAAAAGAAAAGGTCTATGCCAATCAGCTGGCAGCATCCCCGAGGGGACTTCAGGGCTAAATAGCCGAACAAGGTGACCAGGCAGAGGGTCCACTGACAGACAGTCTCCGGAAGAAGGGGCCCGCAGACCTCAAGAAGAGGCTGCGGGGAAGCGTCCCCTCTCAGACCCAGACAAGGACCCCAGGAGTGCCAATGAGGGGTCACTGGGGGTCTGTGCCTCCCAGGAACCCCCACACGCACTGTGCGGGCTTGTCTCTGGCCCTGCGTGGACTCGGGGTCCATGTCATGTGATGAGGGGCGTGCCTCACCAAAGGCCCAATGATGAGGGGGTCTCACAGCCCGGCAGCCGAGACCCTGCACGCGGCACCCCTCACCCCTGGCGACGTGAGACCACCCCACACCTACCTTTCCACATCGCCCTGTTCTGGGGGTTTCGTTCTTCGGCGCAGTTCGGGCTAGTGGGGCTCTCAGCGGTCTCCAGCTGTGCCCTGGGCGACTGAGGGCCACACGGGGAGGTGAGGTCGGGGGACTCCAGTGGACAGGGGGTGCTGTCGGAGGGCGGCTTGGCTCGCTCCCTCCCCCCTTCCTTCTTTGGTTTGATGAGCTTGACTAAGGCTTTGGCCCCGATCCAGTGGTTCTTCCTGGTGAGAAATGCAGGTTTGGTAGGACGCACGGGTCACCCTCACACCCCACACCCTACACCACTGCCGGTCACTGAGCTGGGAACTTTCTTTTGGAGTGGGGCTTGGTGTTTGGGGGAGTCACACCTGCTCAGGGGACCCAACGGGATGCTGGGGATTGAACGCAGGTTAGCCCGGGCCCCAGCTGGGAAGTCAGGGGCCCCCGAGTTCAAGGCACCTGCACTATCACCATCGCCACGTGGAGCCCAAGAGAAGAAATGGAACAGGCTGAAGCACATGCCATGCTGTGGCCCGATTCCACGGGAGCTGCACTGGGAACACATAATCTTGCGCGCCAGCCCCCAAGGCTGGGTGATGTGTGGGACATGTGGGGGGGGTGTGGGAGAAGCTCCCCTCTCCTGGGTCTGTCAGTCTAAGCGACGTGATAGAAACATGGTCACAACTACCCTCCTTGTCTGCTGATACTCAGCAACGGTGCAACAGGCTGGCCCCAGCATAGAGGCACGAGGGCGCTGGGGTGAGGGCTTAGGGGCTCAGAGCAGCCTGCAAGCGGGAGGCCCCGAGTCTGGGCCCTCCATGCCATCCACAACAAAGTCCCACAAAAGGGAAAGGGGGGGTTCCTATGAGGCTGTTCTGGGGTCCAGTGGGTACAGAGAAGTGTTGTGAGGACTGAAGGCTCCCGAAGACTTCTCTTTGGACATGTGTTTGGTTTGGGGCCACACCTGGTGGGGAAGGGGTTATGGGGAAGGTCCCTCCAGCCGAGAGAAGCCCCTGAAACCCAACTCACTTTTTGCTTATTTTTCTTTTGCTTTTTGGATCATGCCTTTTTGGACACTCAGCTCCCGGGAGAGAACAAGGCAGAGTCTCCTACCCTGTGCCTGACTGTCTCCACCAGGGCCCAACAGCTGAAGACCTCCGGGGCCCAGCCAAGGCCATGCTGGGACCACTCTCCACACACTTGGATGAGCCTCATGCATAAAAGAACTGGCAGAGGAACCCAGGTGTGTGGGACCCGGGGCTGAGATCTCCAAGCCTGCACGGTTTGGGACTGGACCTGCCAGTAACTAGACAGTTACACCCACCAACTGCCGTGTAACTCCAACAACGGCCAGGATCCAGAGATTATCACACTCAGCTCCCGGAAGCGCGCAGCCGCATTTGCGGCCGCATGACATCTTATCATCTCATTCCTACTTTGGACAAACTGGCAGGCTACCAAACGTAACCTGCCCACACGGCAGAGTCTGGCAAACTCCCTGTGGTATACCCAATGTGCCAAATACCAGTAACAATGATGGGTCTCATTCTCCTAACCCTGAAAAAGCCTTGAATATGGCACTTTAAAAAAAAAATCTCAGGGCTAGGACGAAGAAGACGTTACTGGCACCTGCTTGAGGCAATCGGCGAACAACAGGGTGGTCGTGATCGTGATCGTGATCATGCCTGGCATCGCTCAGGGGTGAACTCCTGGCTTTGCACTCAGGAATTACTCCTAGTGCTGCTTGAGGGACCCTAAGGGATACTGGGAATCGAACCCGGGTTGACCACATGCAAGGCAAACGCCCTCCCTGCTGTATTATCGCTCCGGTCCCCCGACTCACTTCTTTGGAGAGGGGTCGTAGAACTTGTACTGATCCATGATTTTTTCTTCCAGCTTTTCCTTGTGTCTCCGTAAGGCGTTGAGTTTGTCTCTGCACAGGGAAGAGAGAAATGACTGACCCGAGAGCGAGGGAGGGGAGACGCAAGTGGGAGCATCATGCAGAGGTGGGGGTCCCCAGACACAGGTCGGGGCGGGCAGGGGTCTGCCCTGCAGAGGTAAGGACAGGCAACAAGGCTATTGAGGGTGCCAGGGGGTGCGATCACCCAGGACCCACTGGAGGTCGTTTCCAATGACCCTTCCAAGACAGAGTGCTGTTGGCAGGACTCCTGGTTTGCATGCAACTGACCCGGGTTCAATCCCCACCACTCTTAAAGGTCCCCTGAGCCCTGCCAGGAGTGATCTGTAAGCACAGTCAGACAGAAGCCCTGAGCACCGCGGGATGGCCCAAATACCAAGAAAAAAACCCCAAAAACAAAATGCAAAAACGCAAGAGTGGGGGTGGGGGTTGGGTGTGTGTGTCTGGGGCCAGGAGGTGGGGAGGGGCCTGCAGGAATGAGCCCAGCCCGGGGGTGACTGCTGGGTCCCCCCCCCACCGCCGTCAGAACCCCCGTAGCTCTGGATTTCTAAATGGCAGGAACCTGGTCGGGCTTCTGAGCCCCCTGCAAGGTCTGGGGGCTGCCCCTCCTCTTCTTTGGGGTGGGCACTAGGGTGTGAGGTTTGCTCTCTGCGGCTGCCATCGATCCTGCCAGTCCAGAGTCCGACCACCCGCAGGGTCTCCACAATCTGGAGCCCCCCCTCCCCCCCACCTCAGTGGGCAGCTCTGGTGCCTCTGATCTGAGGCTGTGAGGTCCTGCCCAGCAGGGGGCGCCCCCAGGCTCTGATGCCAAAGGGGGTCCATCACAGACATTGAAGCCCTGTCACCCTGGTTCCCAGCACCCCCATCAGCGACACGGAGTGTGTCCTCGGCTGTGCGGCCCTGAGTGCTGGAGAACTTACAGTCCCACGTCAACTCTGGGGGCTTCGGCCCTATTCCAGCCGGCCCCCAGGCAGGGCTCCTGCTCTGACCCCACCGTGGACCTGCATCTCACTTGGGGGTCTCCAGGCACTGCCAGCATCCAGGGGCAGTGGGTGGGCACCTTCAAGGCGCAGCAGGGCAATCTCGAAGGAACAACCAACACGGCACAGGGTCCCTGGGACCCTCCCACCAGAGCACAGTGGGGTGCAACCTGCCTGTGGTACTTGCTCGGAGCACTGTCCCTCGGGGACTCCTCCCCTGGACCTATTGGAACACTGTCCCTTGGGGACCTAGAATCCTGCCCTGATGCTCACTTGAGCACTACACGTCTGGGACATGGAGTCCTCCCCTGCACCTGGTGCTGGTGTGGGCGGGGCCAGGAGGAGCTGGTGCTGATGTGGGCGGGGTCAGCAAGAATGGGAATGGTGTGGGCGGGGCCAGTGCTGCTGGTGGGGGGCCAGGGGTGGAGCCAGCAGGAGCCAGTGCTGACGGGGGCGGGGCTGGGAGGAGCTGGTGCTGGTGGGGGCGGGGCCGGTGGTGATGTGGGCGGAGCCAGCAAGGATGGAAATGATGTGAGCGCGGGGTCAGCACTGGGGGTGGGGCAGGGGCGGAGCCAGCAGGAGCTGGTGCTGACGGGGGCGGGGCTGGGAGGAGCTGGTGGCGATGTGGGCGGGGTCAGCAAGGATGGAAATGTCTGGGCGGGGCCAGCACTGGTGGTTGGTGGGCCAGGGGCGGAACCAGCAGGAGCTGGTGCTGCCGGGGGCGGGGCTGGGAGGAGCTGGCGCTGATGTGGGCGGGGCCAAGGGCTGCCGGGGACGGGGTCAGCAAGGTTGAGAATGGTATGGGATGGCCAGCAGGGCTGGCACCTTGCCAGCCACAGCCTTACATGTACTGCTTCTGCTCCTCGTGGTACTGCTCCTTGCTCTCCAGGTTCTGCTCCAGAAGCATCTGGTTCTGCTGGGTCAGCAGCTGGATCTGGCCCAGGAGGTGTTGGTTCTCCTCTTCCAAGTTCCCTTTGAGCCGGGCGAGCAGCTACAAGACAGACCACCCATAGGTGCTCAGTCACCGGGATGCGATGCTGAAACCCCTCTTCCCTCCGTTTCCATGTACCCCCTGGACCCTGCACCACAAGCAAAGGCCATGGGTGGGCAGGGGGCTCCAGGCAGGGCACAGCCGTCCACATGGGAGGCCACATGCCGGAACTCCAGCACCCTGAGCGGCCACTCTGGGGCTAGGTGGCACCTCGCGGTGGGTGTCCAACTTGGTCAGGGAGAGGTCCATGCTCTGGTGCTGCTCCTTGAGCTGGTCGAAGCGTGCCTGCCAGCGGTTCAGCTCCAGCTGCGACGTGTTCAGGGCCGTCTTGAGCTCCTTGGTGTGCACCCGCAGCTCCTCATGCTCCCCCTGCAGCTGCTGGTGCAGGCAAGTGACCCTGGGGCAGGGAGGGGGGACACGAGGCACAGGGGCTAGAGAGGGGGTCCACGGAGCAACCAGCGGCCACACCGCCATCCTGTTTGGAGTCTGCATCTGGCGGTGCTCAGGCACCACTCCTGGTGGAGCGCGGGGGACCCTCTGGGGTGTCAGGAATCAAACCCGAGCCAGCTGTTTGCCAGGGGAGCACCTAACCCTTATGCTGTCTCTCTGGCTGCACCGTCACTTTTCTGAGCCTTGGGAAGAAATCGAGGGGGTGTGACTCAATCAGAGGCTTTCAGACGAGGACCCCAGACTTTGGAGGGGGCATTTCTGGTGCCCCCATGTTGGACTGAGCAGCTCAGATGCCCGTGTCAGCAGAGGCGCACCAAGAGGGTGCCTGACACAGACTTGGGTCCATCTGCAGCCCTGGGGGAAAAAAAACTTTTTTTTTTTCCTTTTTGGGTCACAGCGATGCTCAGGGGTTACTCCTGGCTCTGCATTCAGAATTACTCCTGGCAGTGCTGGGAGAACCATATGGGATGCTGGGAATCGAACCTGGGTTGGCTGCATGCAAGGCAAATGCCCTACCCGATGTACTATCACTCCAACCCTGGGGGAAAAAAAACTTATTCGAAAATATAGAACCAGAACTTTTTTTTTTTTTTGCTTTTTGGGTCACACCCAGAGATGCTCAGGGGTTACTCCTGGCTCATGCACTCAGGAATTGCTCTTGGCGGTGCTCAGGGGACCATATGGGGTGCTGGGAATTGAACCTGTGTCAGCCATGTTGACTGCATGCAAGGCAAACGCCCCACCCGCTGTGCTATCGCTCTAGCCCCAACCAGAACTTTCTGTATGTGTAAAATCCTAGAACTCTTCCCAGCTTTCTTTCCAAGACCTTTTTGTTTGTTTGTTTTTGGGCCACATCCAGTAATGCTCAGGGGTTACTCCTGGCTCTGCACTCAGATATTACTCCTGGTGGTGCTCAGGGGAACCTTATGGGATGCCGGGGATTGAACCTGGGTGGACCTGTGCAAAGCAAACAAACGTCCTACCTGCTGTGCTATCTAACCCTGACCAAGCCCCTTTCTGATTTCCCCTCCTGATGTCAGTGTGAAGTGTCATGTGTGGTGTATGTGTGTGTCTGGTGTGTGTGGTGTGTTTGTGAGGGTGTGTCTGGTGTTGTGTGTGGTGTGTATGTGAGTGTGTATGTGTCTGGTGTGAGTGTGTGTGGTGTGTGTGTGGTTATGTGAGTGTCCGGTGTGTGTGTGTGGTGTATATGAGTGTGTGTATGTGGTGTATGTATGAGTGTCTGGTGTGTGTGTGGTGTATGTGTGTGTGTGTGTGTGTGTGTGGTATATAGGTGGTGTATGTGTGAGTGTCTGGTGTGTGTGTGGTGTATGTGAGTGTGTGTGTCTGGTGTGTGAGTACATGTCTGGTGTGTGGTATATGTGTGTCTGGTATGTAGGTGGTGTATGTATGAGTGTCTGCTGTGTGTGTGGTATATGTGTGTGTGTCTGGTGTGTGAGTGCGTGTGTGAATATGTGCGTGGTGTATGTGCGTGCGTGTGTGGTGTATGTGAGTGAGTATGTGTATGGTGTGTGTATGTGTGTGAGCCTGGTGTGTGTTTGTGTGGCCATGTCTGTTGTATGTGTGGCGTATGTGTGAGTGTGTGCGTGCACACACACACTGGGGTGACAGTGGCCCCTGTGGCTGCCCCAGGGAGGGCAGGGCTGTGTGGAAGATGCAGGGGACCCGGTCAGGCTGTCCCCCGCCCTGTCTCCCTGCCTGACACAATCCCGGAACCCGACGCACTGACTCTGGCCCGGCCCGCCTGGCCCTCCCAGCCCCAAGCCCGCCCCAAGCCCGCCCCAGGCGCACTCACCGGTCCAGCTCTGCCTGCAGCCTCTGCTTCTCGCTGGCGGTGGCCGCGCTGCTCTGCTGCTCCCGCTGCAGTGCAGCCTCCAGCTCCTCCAGCCGGGCCTCGTGCTTCAGGGCCGCCCCGTGCCTGGGGGACACAGGGGGGCCATGGGGGTGCCCGGCCGAGCTGTGGGGGCTAGGTCAGGGAGTGGACACCTGAAGCCCCCACCCACGGGGCTTAGGGGGACCTTTCGGCTTCCTGCAGAGCAGCTCTGCCTCCATCTCCCCGCCCGTCCCGAGGGGCTCCTCGTTTCCAGGGGGTCCCTGAGCCCAAACGGGAAAGGAACGACAGAGGGAACATCCGGATGCCAGGCAGAGACCCTGAGCCCTCCTGCCTGGACAGAGGCCCCAGGGCCCAGGCAGCCCCCCATAATCCACCTCTTCGAGCCTTGAACTTTAAAAAAAATTTTTGTGTTTTTTTTTTTTGGCGTCACACCTGGTGATGCACAGGGGTTACTCCTGGCTCTGCATTCAGGAGTTACACCTGCTGGTGCTCAGGGGACCATATGGGATGCTGGGAATCGAACCCGGGTTGGCCGCGTGCAAGGCAAACGCCCTACCCGCTGTGCTATCTCTCCAGCCCCCTCCATTCCCTCTCTCTCTCTCTCTCTCTCTCTCTCTCTCTCTCTCTCTCTCTCTCTCTCTCTCTCTCTCTCTCTCTCTCTCTCTCTCTCCCCCTCCCTCCCTCCCTCCCTCCCTCCCTCCTCTTTCTTCTCTCTCTTCTCTCATTTTCTTTCTCCAGCCCCTCAATCCTCTCTCTTAATGGGGTTGTTGTTGGGGGGGGATTATACCCAGAGGTGTTGGGGGTCACTCCCGCCAGTGCCTAGGGGACCACACAGCAGCAATAGGGATAGCGCTGGGGGCCTCACACACTTGTCCTCCAGCCCTCGGAGCTGAGCCCCTGGCCTCAGTTTCCTCACCCCTGAGCTGCCAGGCTGCATCAGGGAGGGCAGAGGCCTGAAGTACCCCCAGGTTCAGCCGTGTGCATGGATGGCTTAGGAGGACCCCCGATTCAAAGCTGAGAGACTGCTCCCCCACCTTGGTACCCCTCCTCAAACCAGGCCGTCACACATGGGCCATGACTGAGGGGCCGGGCAGGTGCTCAGGGCCCAGCATCGGCGGGTACAGGTGTGTGTATGTCTATGTCTGACCCCAAGTGTCCCTGCATCTGTGGGTGTGCCTGACCCCGAGTGTGTATCTGTGTGTATCTGACCGGGAGTGTGTGTCTGTGTATGTGTGCCTGAACCCAAGTGTGTATCTGTGTGTATCTGACCAGGAGTGTGTGTCTGTGTATGTGTGTGTGTGTGCCTGACCCTGAGTGTCTGTGCGTCCATGTGTGTCTCTGACTCTGAGTTCCCCTTGTCCCTGTCTGTGCCTGACCCCCGTGTCCCTGTGTCCTTGTGTGTACCTGACCACATCTTTGTGTGTCCTTGACCTGTGTCCTCATGTCCCTGTGTGTGCCTGACCGCGTCCCTGTGTGTGCCTGGCCCGTAACCCCGTGTCCCTGCGTGTGCCTGGCCTGTATCCCCATGTCCCGTGTGTGCCTGACCCATGTTACCGCGTCCCTGTGTGTACCTGACCTGTGTCCCTGTGTATGCCTAGCCCGTGACCCCGTGTCCCTCTGTGTGCCTGTGTCCCTGTGTGTGCCTGACTCATGTCCCCGCGTCCCTGTGTGTACCTGACCACATCTCTGTGTGTCCCTTACCTGTGTCCCCACATCCCTGTGCGTGCCTGGCCTGTGTCCCCATGCCCCTGTGTGTGCCTGACCGCATCCCTGTGTGTGCCTGACCCATGTTTCCATGTCCCTGTGTGTGCCTGACTGCATCCCTGTGTGTGCCTGACTCATGTTCCCGTGTCCCTGTGTGTACCTGACCTGTGTCCCTGTGTATGCCCAGCCCGTGACCCCATGTCCCTGTGTGTGCCTGGCCCGTATCCCCGGGTCCCTGTGTGTGCTTGTGTCCCTGTGTGTGCCTGACTCGTGTCCCTATGTGTGCCTGACTCATGTCCCCATGTCCCTGTGTGTACCTGACCACATCTTTGTGTGTCCCTTACCTGTGTCCTCACATCCCTGTGTGTGCCTGGCCTGTGTCCCCATGCCCCTGTGTGTGCCTGACCACATCTCTGTGTGTGCCTGGCCCGTGACCCCGTGTCCCTATGTGTACCTGACCCATGTTCCCGCAGCCCTGTGTGTGCCCGGCCCGCGTCCCCCGGGCACGCACCTGTCCTGCAGCTCCCTGTGCTCCAGCTCCAGGCTGCGGTGCAGCGCCTTGAGGCAGCTGTGCTGGCGGATGAGCGCCTCGTACTCGGCCGACTGGCGCTCGTGCAGGGCGCCCAGGTGCTCGTGGTCCTGCTGCAGTGCCTCGTGGGCGGCCGCCAGGCGCTCCTGCTGCCTCTGCTCGGCCTCCGCCTGCGTCTCCTTGGCCGCCTGCTGGCTCTGCAGCAGCGCGTACTGGGCGGCCAGCGCGGCGCTCTGCGAGCTCAGGGTGGAATTCTCCACCTGCGGGGGCGGGGGGGCGTGGCCTCAGGGGGGCGGGCTAGGGACCCCCGCGGGAGCCGACCAGCAGCTCCAATGCAGACCCAGAGAGGTGCTCCCCGACGGTCAGGGTGGCGGGCCCGCCCTCTCCTTTGGAAGCGCCGCCTGTCCCCTGGGGCTCACACCCCCCTGCTAGGGGCACCAGGCCACACGGGGACTGAGCGAAGTCACCGCACATAAGGGCCGCCCCTCCTGCACCACCTCCCCGGCTCCGACTTTCATTCGTACGTTTCCGGGGCCAAACTGGGCAGTGCCCGGGATCACACCCAGCGCTGAGCCTGATCCTGCTCCTGGGACCGTGCAGTGCCAGGCACTGGGTTCCACCCTCCAAGCACCTCCCCAAGTCCCTCCGACCACTTCTCTTCTGTTTGCTCTGGGGCTACACACGGTGGTGCTCAGGGTGTACTCCTGGTTCTGTGCTCAGCTCTGGTGGGAAGGGCTGGGAAGGGCCATACAGGGTGCTGGGGATCGAACCCAGGTTGGCCACAGCAAAGCAAGCACCCTACCTGCTGTACTCTCTCTCCAGTCCCATCCTCTGACTACTTTTTATTTGATTTGATTTTTTTTTTGCAGTGGGGTCGGAGCAGGGGGTGGTGTCATACCCGGTGGTGTTCATGGCTTCCTCGTGGCTCTGTGCTCAGGGACCCGATGGGATGCTCCACTGTGCTCTCTCTCCAGCCCTATGCCCGGCTTCTACAAACCCACTTTCTCTTGTTGTGGCTGGGCCATGCCCAGCAGTGCTGCAGGCTGATCTCCTATCTACGAAACCGTGTGTGGTGCGGGGGATTGAACCTCGATGGCCGTGTGCAAGGCAAGTGTCCTGCCTGCTGTACTATCGCCCTGGCCCCCAAAACCTACTTTTTAAATGAGAGGGGGAAAAATAAATCAGAAAAATCAGAAAGGAGGGGAGAGAGCTTCTGGAACACTCTAGCAACCCACCTGACCTGCTTGATGTCCACAAACTGTCCACCCACGATGACCTGACATTACATTCCTCCATGCCCATCCTGGGCTTAGCATCGACCCAAAATCATCACAACAGAAACCGCCAGGGGTGAATGCCCCCTTCCTTCTGCCTTCCTTCCTTCCTCCTTCGGTTTTTGGGCCATCTATTGAGGGGGGTTTGAGGATTGAACCATGTGGTTCCCAGGGATCAAACCTGAGGATCTATTGCTGGTTCAGTCCCTGAGTACTGGTCCTCCAGATCACTCCCACTCCTTCCTTCCTTCCTTCCTTCCTTCCTCTTTTTGGGTCACACCCGGCAATGCTCAGGGGTTACTCCTGGCTCTTGCACTCAGGAATCATTCCTGGTGGTGCTTGGGGGACCGTATAGGATGCTGGGAATTGAACCTGGATCATCCATTGGCAAGGCAAACGCCCTACCCACTGTGCTATCGCTCCAGCCCCTCCCACTGTGGTTTCTTTCTTTCTTTTTATTTTTCATTTTGGATCACTCTCAGCGATGCTCAGAGATTACTCCTGGCTCTGCTCTCAGAAATCACTCCTGACGGTGCTCAGGGGACCATATGGGATGCTGGGAATTGAACCTGGGTCGGCGGCGTGCAAGGCAAACGCCCTACCTGCTGTGCTATCGCTCCAGCCCCTCATACTGATTTCTCAAGGAACAGACTTTAGTAACATAGTAACAGTAACAGAGAAACACAGGCTCGGCCCTCTCCCCCCTGCCATGACCCCAAGGCTAGGAAGTGCTATTTACAGAGACTCTCACTCTCTCTGTGCTCAGGAAGGAACGCCAGGGCTGGGGGGCTGGGCGGTGCCAGGGGCTTGTGAGTCGCTGGCCTGCCAGGTGACTGACCCACTGGGGTCCCCTGGCCCGGAGCGCGGAGCCTGGAGCCGGGTCGCGAGCACTGCCGGGCGAGCGCGAGCGCCGGCTGCCTACCTGCAGCTGCGCCGTCTGCGTCTGCAACGCCGCGTTGTGCTCCTGCAGCGCCCGCATCTGCGCGTTCAGCACCGCGCCCTGCGCCTCCCGCTGCTGCGCCTGCTCCTTCAGCAGCTGCTTCTCCGCCTGCAGGGCCGCGTTCTGGGGGGCGGGAGGCGGGGCCCCTCAGCTCCGGGTCGGGGGGGACCCCCACGCCTCTCGCCCCGCCCTGCTCCGGCCTCCCAGGTGCTCACGCTGCGCTCCAGCTCAATGGCTCGATCCTTGACGCGCAGCAGCTCCATGGTGGCCTCCTGGTGCGCGGCCGCCACCGCACCCTCCTGCCAGTGCTGTCGCAGCAGTTGGCACTCCTTGCGCACCTGCGGGTGGGCGGGCGGGGGGCACCTGAGCCGGCGTGGAGGGGGCGCTGCCTCCCCGGCACCCGCCCCTCTGTGTCCCGGCTAACACGGCAGCAAGGGCAGGGAACCCTGCGACCCGGAGAGCTGTGAGCGGGGACCCCGGGGGTCGAGTAGGGGGAGGGGCAGGCGCCTACCCAGCCTGCTGGGCTTCTGAGCTGGGGTACAGCCGACTGACCAGGTGGCAGGTGAAGGGAAGGGCTCACAGGTGACAGGGAAGATTGATGTGTGACAGGTGTCAGGGAACGGCTCAGGTAACAGGGAAGGTTCATAGGTGACAGGGAAGGGTTCAGAAGTAACAGGGAAGGTTCACAAGTGACAGGTGACAGGGGAGGGCCCACAGGTGACCCTAAAGAATCCACAGGTGAGGGCTGCAGTGATAGTGAAGCCAAGTAGGGCGTTTGCCTTGCACACGGCCGACCCGGGTTCGATTCCCAGCATCCCATATGGTCCCCCAAGCTCTGCCAGGAGTAATTCCTGAGTGCAGAGCCAGGAGGAACCCCTGTGCATCGCTGGGTGTGACCCAGAAAGAAAAAAAAATAAAGAATTCACAGGTGACAGGTGACAGTTAAGGGCAAATGGATGTCAGGGAAGGCTAATGGGTGACAGGTAGGGCTGACAGATAACAGATGAGGCTAACAGGGGCCAGATGAGGTTGATGGGTGAAGACAGGTGGGTGACAGTTAAGAGCTGGCAGGTGCCAGGTGATGAGGGCTGACAGGTAACCCGAGAGGCTGACAAGTGACGGATGAGAGTTGACAGGTGCCAGGTGAGGGTGACGGATCCAGCTGCGGCTGATAGGCAGGCCCCCACTCACCGCCTGCAGCTCGCTCTCGAGCTGCTGGTTCAGGCTGACCTTCTCCTCCACCTGGGCCTCGAGGGACACGATCTTCTCCTCTCTCCTGGCCAGTGAGCTGTTCACTGCCGACTCGTTCTGGACATCCAGAGCCTGGCAGTTCCTGGAGAAACCCAACACCCGACACCTTCAAATCTAGGGCCACCGCTTGGTGGTGTCCCCGCCGTGGACAGGCCCTGAGAATCCCAGGGCATGGCCAGGCGAGCCCAGTGCGACCTACGCGCAGTTAGCATCTTCTGCCAGGTGCCAAAGATGCTGCCCACCAGGCAGGTGTGTCCCGAGTTGAGGCGGGAGGCGAGGGGGGGTGCTCCCCAGGAAAAACTAACCCCCCTCAGTCACTGCAGGTAAAGGCCGGGATCATGATCTCCCTCCCCTGTGGGTGGGCTGGGCATCAGGGCACTTTCTGCTCTGCACCAGGGGCTCCTCCCAGCCCATTGCTGGTTCAGTGGTGTCCAGGGGACGGGGTGGCACGGGGGCTGAACACAGACTCCTGCATGCAAAGCCCCTTGAGCCGTCTCCCAGCCCCAGGCAGCAAACACGGTACAAAAGGGCGAGTCCATCCCGGTGACACCACACAGTGACACCCAACGAACATGAGACGTCAGACCCGACTCGTGTTAATTAAGGAACTCAACTGCATGCTGAGGGTGCACATTAGCACCCATGGGTTAAAACTGCCTACAAATGGGGCCAGAGCGATAGCACAGTGGGGAGGGTGCTTGTCTTGCATGCAGCCGATCTGGGTTCGATTCCCAGCATCCCGAATGGTCCCTGAGCACCGCCAGGAGTGATTCCTGAGCGCAGAGCCAGGAGTGACCCCTGAGCATCGTGGGTGTGGTCCCCAAACCAGGAAAATCAAATCAAATCAAACTGCTCTACAAAGCCCATCTACAGGGCCAGAGCAACAGTCCAGCAGGGAGGGCGTGGGCCTTGCATGTGGCTGACCCGGGTTCGATCCCCGGCATCCCCCATGGTCCCCTGAGCACTGCCAGGAGTAATTCCTGAGTGCAGAGCGAGAAGTAACCCCTGAGCATCACCGGTGTGACCCCCCCCCCAAAAAAAAACAAAAATAGAACAGACAAACAAAAGAGAGTGATCTACTTAAAAAAAAAAAAACACCCGAACCACCTAAGAGGCTGTGAGCAACAGACCACGGGACATTGGGGTGTGCTCACGTGTCGCGCTGCGCCCACTTCTCCCTGGCGCTGCCCTGGCCCGACTTCTCCAGCTCCTGGATCAGCTTGTCCAGCTCACCGCTCAACTGCTGACTGCGCAACTTCTCCTGCACCAGGTCCTGTGAGGACAGCGAGGGGCGCGGGGTGAGCAGGTGGGGGCGGGGGGCACAGACCCTGCCCCTGGGAGAGCTGTCTGGACCTAGTGTCGGGGCTGCCTGTGAGGCCACAGAGGAGGGGGGGGGGGTGACGGCCCAGGGCAGGAACCACAGAGGCAGCCATGCTCCCCACCCCGAGGGCAGAGTAGGGTGCGCCACCCCGAGGCAGAGGGTCCTAGGGTCCCAGTGACCCCCCCCCCACCACAGCAACCTGGCAGCTCGGGGCTCAGCCCACCTCCCGCCAGCTCCCCACAGGTCCCAGTCAGAGAAACATCCTGACTCGGGGACCACTGCCGAGAGCACAGAGGCGGGGGAGGAGGGCGAGACCTGGGATGGGCGCGCTGGTCCCTCTCCCCTGCCGTGGGGAGCCTCAGAGTCTCAGCAGGACCCCTGCTCAGGGCCCACCCTCCCCCCAAGAGCCCCCAGGGTGGCCTGTCCAGTCACCCAGGGCAGAAGCCCAACCAGCGGCTACAGCGGGGAGGGTACTTGCCTAGCATGTGGACAACCCAGGTTGGACCCCTGACATCCTATATTTGGTCCTCCCAGGCAGGACTAAATTCCTGAGCATCGCCAGGAGTGGCCCCCAAAACAGAAACAAATAAAAAGCCCGTCCACGTGGGTCACTGCAGGCATCCCAAGCCATGTGAGCACTAAGCCCTTCTAACGTGGCAGCCGTCACTGTCACTGTCACTTTCCTCCCGTTATTCATCGATTTTCTCGAGAGGGCCCAGTTTAACGTCTCCATTGTTGTTACTGTGTTTGGCTTATCGAATACGTCACGGGGAGCTTGCCAGGCTTTGCCGTGTGGGCGAGATACTCTTGGTAGCTTGTCGGGCTCTCCGAGAGGGGTGGAGGAATCGAACTCCGGTGGGCCATGTTGGCCGCTTGCAAGGCAAAAACACCCTACCCGCTGTGCCCAACCCGCTCCAGCCCAACCGTGGCAGCTAGTCATGCCGAAACCCCGGGCACTCTGCAAGGAGGACCGGGACAAGCTCCGAGAGGTGCCCGTGTACACAACAGCAGGGAGCACAGGCCAGGGCCCCAGGCTGGCCACCTGCCCTCTTCCCGTAGCCCTGAAGCCTCCCTGAAAATCGGAAAACCGAAGAGAACAGAGGGGAAAAGAAAAAAGACAACCTAATGGGCATACGTGATGCCACCAGCCAACCCTCTACAGCCACCAGAAAACGTGACTCTGAGGCATGCTGGGTGCCATGAGCAGAGGTTGTGGTGTGAGAACAGAACCCGTGGGTGGCCAAGCAAGGGATGCGTCTGCCCGGGCACAGAACTGGACACACTCGCTTCAAGGCTCCCCCCTACACTGTGGCCTGGCAAGTCCCAGGGACACAAGGTGAAGAGTCCAGGGAGGACTGGATCGATAGTCCAGAGGGGAGGGCGTTTGCCTTGGACATGGCCGACCAGGGTTCGATTCCTGACATTCCATATGGTCTCCTGAGATCACCAGGAGCATTGCCAGGTGTGACCCAAAGAGTAAAAAAAAAAAAAAAAATGCTTGGAGTGCTCGCTCAGGGTGGGAGATGTGTGCTGGAAAGTAGACTACATGGACCGAACATGATGGCCACTTAGTACCCATATTGAGAACCATAACACCCAAAAGGAGAGAGAGAGAGAGTAAAAGGGAATGTGCCTGCCACAGAGGTGGGGGGAATGTGATGGGGGTAGTGGGAAGGACACTGGGAACATTGGTGGTGGAGAATGGGCACTGGTGGAGGGATGGGTGCTTGATCACTGTATGACTGAAACGTAATCACGAAAGTTGTAAGTCTGTAACTGTATCTCACGGTGATTCATTAAAAAAAAAATTTAAAAAATTTAAAAGTTCTATTAGAGAGGCTGGAGCAGTAGCACAGCAGGTAGGGAGTTTGCCTTGCACGTGGCCGATCCGGGTTCAATTCCCAGCATCCCATATGGTCCCCTGAACACTGCCAGGGGTAATTCCTGAGTGCAGAGCCAGGAGTAACCCCTGTGCATTGCCGGGTGTGACCCAAAAAGCAAAATATAATAAAATAAAATAAAAGTTACATTAGAAAACCCCCCCCAAAAAAAATAGGGGTTGGAGCGATAGCACAGCGGGTAGACCATCTGCCTTGCACAGGCCGACCCAGGTTCGATTCCCAGCATCCCATATGGTCCTCCGAGCACTGCCAGGAGTGATTTCTAAGTGCAGAGCCAGGAGTAACCCCTGTGCATCGCCGAGTGAGATCCCCCCCCCAAAATAAAAAAGACCCCCTGGGTGAGGCCGGGCCCCTGGGTGAGGCCGGGCTCCTGGGTGCCCCCAGCACTCACATCCCTCAGCGTGGCCAGCGTCCGGCTATGGACCGTGACCTGCTGGCTGAGGGTCCGGTTGTCCTGCTCCAGCTCCCGGAGCCTGTCGGCGGCGTCCCGGCAGCGGGCCAGCTCCTTGTCCAGCGCGCGGCAGTCCCGCTCGGCGGCGGACAGCTTGGCGGCGTTGTCGTCCAGCACGGCGTCCTTGAGCTCCACCTGCTGCCACAGCCGCCGGTTCTCCTTCTCCAGCAGCTTCTTGTCCTTCTCCAGCTGCGCCACCTCCTGCTCGAGCGCCAGGCGCTCGGCCCCGGCCCGCACCAGCTGCTGCTGCGCCGGCCGCAGCACCTGCGTCTCCACGTCCCGCTCGCGGAGCTGCCGCTCGAGCTCCTGCGCCCGGTGCGCGCCCGCGTCCAGGCCCTGCTGCAGCCGCAGGTTGTCGGCGCGGGCGTCCTCCAGGCTGCGCTGCAGGTGCTCGGCCTCGCGGCTGCGCGCCTTGAGCCGCTCCACGCTCTGCCGCAGCCCGTCGCGCTCCCGCACCAGCTCCTGGTTCTCCCGCTCCACGCGCGCCACCTGCGCGCCCGCGAAGCGCAGGCTCTCCACCATCTGCCGCAGCTCCGCGTTCTCGCCGTCCAGCTGCTTGTGGGCGCGCTCCAGCTCCTGCAGCTGCACCGACACGTTCTGCAGCGTGTCCAGGGACTTGCGCAGCTGCCGGTTCTCCAGCGCCAGGCCCCGGCTCTCGTGCTCCAGCGCGGCCGCCCGCTCCGAGGATGCGCGCAGGGAGCTCGCCTCGGTGGCCAGCGCCGCCTTCTCCGCCTCCAGCTGCCGCAGCTGCGTCTCCAGCGCGCCCGCCCGCTCGCCCTTCTCCTTCTCCTGTGCCAGCTCCTCCTGGAGCAGCTGCTTCTCGTCCTCCAGCCGCCCCAGCTGGTTGCGCGCCGCCAACAGTGCCTGCTGGAGGGCCTTGGCCTCCTTCTCTCCGTCCTGGGCCGCGGCCCCCTGGCGCATCGACCACACTGTCTGGTTGAGCTGGTCCTTTTCCTGCTCCAGGTCCTTGACCTGCGGGGGGGAGGGGGGGAACAGCGAGGAGGGGGGCGTGATGTGGATGATGGATGCGTGAGGCTGAGGTCCATGGTGGGTGGGTGGGCAGGGTTGGACACACTCACTCCAAGGCCGCCCCCCCCACACTGGCCTCAGGAGTCCCAGGGGCCAGGACTGGACATGTGAAGAGTCTAGGGAGGGCCTGAGTGGTGATTGATAGTCCAGCGGGGAGGGCGTTAGCCTTGCACGCAGCCCACCCAGGTTCGATCCCAGGCATCCCATATGGTCCCCCCTGAGTACCACCAGGAGTGGTCCCTGAGTGCAGAGCCTGTAGCCCCTGAACCAGGTGTGGGCCAAAGGGCCAAATAAATAAATAAGAAAACAAACAGAAACCTAAACTGGCTTTAAAGCCCGGGAAGGAACTCAGCACCCTGGGGTCACGTTCAGCAACGTGACCCCACAGCCTGCATGGGCTCCCCGTTGTCGGCCTATGCAGGACAGTCAGCGACCCTGCTACGGGCTCTCGCACCCTCGGCAAGTCCCTTGCTCCTTACTGGTGCTGTCAGAAAGCCTGGCAGCCCGATGGCCCCCAGTACCTCCCCCCCCCATAGTGCTCACAGAGCTCACACACTCCCCCTGCAGGGCACTGCTGCCTATGCAGGTGCTATGTTGCATGGAGGGGGGATGCAGGACAGACAGACACAGAGCCCCCAGGTGGCGGTCCCTATCGTGCAGTTCGAGCTCTGAGCACCAGCTTTTGGCCGGGTGTGTGTGTGTGTGGGGGGGGGGGGGGGTCTCGGGTCGGGTCTGGGACGCTGAATCCCTGTGGGGCCTGCAGTGCTCCCAGCCCCAGCCTGCAGGGTGAGAAGTCGGCTGCCTGGGGTCATGCAGCCCAGTGCACGGACCCTAGCACAGCACCCGGCAGAGGGTCAGAAGGGCTGCGGGGCCACGTGGTGACATGTGGGTGCTCGGAGAGAGGACAGCAGGGATCATGAGGGCTATCCCAGGGGTTCTGAGGGCTGTCCTGGGGGTCAGAGGGGCTGTCCTGAGGGTCATAGGGGCTGTCCCAGGGTTAGAGGGGCTATCCCGGGGGTCAGAGGGGCTGTCCTGGAGGTAATGGGGACTGTCCGGGATCATACGGGCTGTTTGGAGGATTGAGGGGCTGTTCCAGCGGTCATAGGGGCTGTCCCGGCCTCCAGCGTCCCCTCGGGGGCCTGAGCGACAGGTTTCCAGCGGTGCTCGGGATCCTACCTGCCGGGCCTGCTCGGCCCTCAGGGCCTCCAGGCCGCTCTGCAGCTGCTCCTTCTCCTTGATGAGCTCCTCGCTCAGCGTCTCCAGGTCCTGGTTGCTCTGCTTCTCCCTCTCCAGCTGGTTCTGCAGCTTCTCCACCTGCAGGCGGGGGCCCAGCACGGGGGCGTCAGGGTTGGGACCGGCCAGTGCTCCCAGGGGATGCTGAGTACCACTCAGCACTCATCTGGCCCCCGCGGGACCCCCGCTCCCCGCCACACCACGCACGTCCCTTGGCTGCTGGAGGTGCCACTGTCTCGTCCAAGGGTCCCAAGTGTGGGTATGGGACCGCCCTGGGGGTCAGGAGCAGGCTGGAGGGGGTGGGGCCCAACCGGGGATGGGGGAAATGTGTGAGCGGGACTCCTTGCAATTCGGTCACCACTGCTGCCCTTGTCCTCCCACTGCGCAGCCTGGCTGACCGCCGGGAGCACCCGGGGTGCATGTGGGGGCCTTCCCGTGTGTCATCATTACAAGAAAGTGGGGTGCGGCCACATAGGAAGCCTTTGATGTCAAGGCTCTGAACCCGTTTTCTGTGCTCTGGCCTTAATTCCGGCGCTGTGCTCGGGGATCTCACCAACCCAAAAGGCTGGAGAGAGAGAGAGCACAGTGGGTGGAGCACTTACTTTGCATGGGGCTGACCCTGGTTCAAGGGTCAGCACCACCCAGGGTCCCCCAAACACTGCTACAAAATGACCCCTGAGCGCAAAATCAGGAGTAAGCCCTGAGCACTGCAGGATGTGACCTTCAGCCAAAAGTAAACAACATCAACAACAAAAAAACCCAAGGTATAGCAGTGCCTGCTCTTTCCTGTGTGAGGTTTTTATAACAGTAACTGGGGGCCTGCGCGATAGGTCAGCAGGGAGGGCTGTAAGGTAAAGCTTCCACCTGGCCAATCCAGGTTCGATTCTCGGCATCCTATATGGAGACCCTCGAGCACGCCAGGAGTAACTTCTGAGTGCAGAGCCAGGAGTAAGCCCTGAGCACCGCTGGGTGTGACCCCAAACCAAAAAGAAGGGGCTGGAGCGATAGCACAGCGGGTAGGGCGTTTGCCTTGCATGTGGCCGACCTGGGTTCGATTCCCAGCATCCCATATGGTTCCCCTCGAGCACTGCCAGGAATAATTCCTGAGTGTATGAGCCAGGAGTAACCCCTGTACATCACCAGGTGTGACCCGAAAAGCAAAAACAACAACAACAAAAAAAAAGAATTCCAACAGTAATTGGGGATTGGAACAACAGCATAGCAAGTAAGGTGCTTGCCTTCCATACAATCAAGCCAGATTCAATCCCGGGTACCTCATATGGTCCCCCGGGGCCCTTTTAGGAGTGATCCCTGAGCACAGAGCCAGAAGTAAGCCCTGAGCACAGCTGGGTGTGGCCCAAACCACCACTCCCCACCCCCCCCCCAAAAAAAAACAAACCAAAAATTCACAAAGATAATGGCCAGAGAGATAGTACAGTGGGTAGGGTCTGCCTTGCACTGGGATTAGATCATGGTCCCCCTAGCCCCTTGAGGAGTGATGCCTGAGCCCAACGGGCTATGGCCCCCAAACACAAAACAATCAAAACTCAAACACAGCCGGTAGGGCATTTGCCTTGCACGCGGCCGACCCGGGTTCAATTCCCAGCATCCCATATGGTTCCCCCCGAGCACCGCCAGGTGTAACCCCCCCCAAAAAAAAATCAAACATGTAAGAAGTGATTTCCCTTTCCAGGGAACTCCCCCCCCCCAGAAGCGCTGCTGGGGGTGGGGGCGCCCTGAGCCTCCTCCCGGGTCCCACCTTCTTGCTGAGCTGCTGGTTGTCCTTCTCCAACTCCCCACACTTGAGGCCACTCTCCTCCAGGGCCAGTGCGGCGTCCCGCAGCCCCCGCACGGTGCTCTGAAGAGCCTGGTTCTCCTTCTCCAGCCTCAGGATGCGGCTGGACGCGCACTCGTTTAGCTCGAACACGAACGACTTCCTGGAGGCTGGGTGGGGGGCAGACTTAGGTCAGAGCTGGGGGCCCCCTGGTCCCCCACCAGCCCACCACCCCGGCTCGCAGGTGCTACCAGCACCACAATCACATCTGTAGGGTACCACCCCCCCAGCAAGGGGAGTTCACCCCCAACACCAGAGGAAAGCGGGTGAGGGTGAGTCTGGGCCAGAGCTGGAGGCCGCGGGTGGGTTCACAGAGACCCTGATCCGCCTGGACGGCGGAGGGGGCAGGAGGCAGCAGTTTCTCTGTGCCTGCTCTGGGAGGGGCCTGTCCAGCTTGAGAGAGGGTGGGATGCGGTAGGTGGTCAGCTAGTCATGTCTGCAGGGCCACAGCAGGACCTCTGTCCAGTTTGCCTAGTGTTCGTCATCCCCAGGAAAAGGGCGTCCAGAGATTCTGGTGTGTGATTTCCCAAGAAGTTTAAAATGAGGGGCTGGAGCGATAGTACAGTGGGTAGGGTGTTTGCCTTGCACACGGTCGGCCCGGGTTCGAGTCTCAGCATCCCATATGGTCTCCTGAGCACCGCCAGGAGTAATTCCCAAGTGCATGAGCCAGGAGTAACCCTTGTGCCCTGTGCATCACTGGGTGTGACCCAAAAAGCCAAAAAAAAAAAAAAAAGTTTCAAATGAATGAGAAATCCGATGTAAACTTCTTTAAAAAGAATTATACACACACACACACACACACACACACACATATATATATATGGAACCAGAATGATAGTACAGCACTTGTGTGCATCTGACTGACCCAGATTCCATCCCTGGCACCACAGAGGGTCCCCTGAGCCCCACCAGAATCACTCCTGAGTGCAGAGTCGGAGTAAGCTCTGAGTCAGACCGACAGCACAGCAGGAAGGGCATTTGCCTTGTACATGGTGAACTCAGGCTCAATCCCTGGCATCTCCCATAGTCCCCTGAGCACCTTCAGGAGGATTCCTGAGTGCAGGGCCAGGAATAATCCCTGAGCAACTGCAGGTGTGGTACAAACTCTCCCTTAAGAAAAAAAAAAAGGAATAAACTGAGAACCACCAGGTGTGCCCCCCCCCCGCAAAAAAAAAAAAATCAAAACTTGTAAGCAAGATGAAAATATAAGCAAAAGGGTTCGGAGCGATAGCACAGCGGGTAGGGCATTTGCCTAGCATGCAGCCAACCTGAGTTCAATTCCCGGTATCCCATATGGTCCCCCAAGCACCGCCAGGAATAATTCCTGAGTTCAGAGCCAGGGGTAACCACTGGGCATAACCCAAAAAGCAAAAAAAAAAAAAAAAAGAAAAGCCAAAATATAAAACAAAAAGAGTCATCTACTAATAATGGCCCACAGGCAAGTTCTGGGAGATGGCTCAGGGGCCCAGAGTTCAACTCTCAGCATTGAAAAAAATGGAAAAAAAATATTCCCCTCTTTATTTAAAAAACCAGAAAGAATGGTTTTTTGGTTTTTTTTTTCCCTCTTTGGGTCATACCCACAATGCACAGGGGTTACTCCTGGCTCATGCACTCAGGAATTATTCCTGGCTGTGTTCGGGGGACCCTATGGGATGCTGGGAATCAAACCCGGGTCGGCTGCATGCAAGGCAGACACCCTACCCGTTGTGCTATTGCTCCAGTCCCAAGAATTGGGTTTTCTTGTTTATTTGTTTTTGAACCAGGCGGGCAGTGCTGGGGAACTGTGCGGTATGGACCTTGCCGTCCACCCTGCTTCTTGCTCCACGCACAGTGCTCGGGGACGGTTCCCAGCTCTGTGCTCCGGACTGGGCCGTGGTGGTCACCGGTAACCTGAACCTCCAGGTCACCAACAGTGGGACTGTCTCCTGCCTCCTGCCCGCCTCCGTGAAAACCAGCCGGACACCCTGCAGTCCTCCTCCCGAACACCAGGGGGCAGCCGCCCTCCCCTTGCAGCTCAGCCTTGCACCTGGCGGCCCCAGGGCATAGAAAGAACCTCCTCTTCCCACACAAACTCAGTTCAGTGCACAGCTTGGCAACAGCCCCGGCCCCAGGAAAGACAGATGCTTTCGGGACATCTCCGCATCTCTGCATCTAGGGCTGCTTAGGCAGCGCTGAAACAACCGCTTCCCCCACCGGGCCCTGCACCCGCCCTGCACCCACCCCACCCCGCCCGGCCCTGCACACACACTGGCTCTCGGGCCTGCGTGCACGTGTGCTATTTTTGGACACAGGAACCGGCCTATTGTCTGCCGGGCGCTGCCGGCTTCCTGCCCAGTTGTGCTGGCCCTGGCGGCCGGCCCACCCACCTCCTATCCGCAAGCAACAGCAGGACCTGGGTGCTAGGCGGGGGCAGAGCAGGGGGAATAAGGTGCAGGGCAGGCAGGAAGTGGCCAGGACCTCGTGGCCACACCTAGGGGGAGGGGAGGAAGCAGGAAGCAGCACCCCAGAGATGGAGCAGGGGGACAGGGCGGGGGTGCTGTGACTGACACACAGAGGGGTCCTGAGTGTGGGTCGGGGGCAAGGATGAGGGGGACCACACCCCGCCCCCCCCAGCCTCCCGCGCTCCGCCCCCCACATGCGCTTCCTGTGTGCTCTGGGTTACCCCGGAACCGCCTGCCAGGGAACCCAGAACCCCGCCTTGCTGGGGGTGCCTGAGCCGCGGCTCCGGTGGGGACACTGACTGTCGGACAGGTCCGCGCTCTTGGACAGCTGCTCCAGCTCCCAGCCCAGGTGCGCCGACTCGTTCATGCTCTGCTTCTGGGCCATCTCCAGGACCATGTTCTCCTCCAGCAAGTCCTCAATCCGCTTCTTGTCCGAGTCCCGGTCCTGATGCGGGGGGCAGCGGGGCCGTGAGGGTCCGTCCACAGGGACCAGCCACCACCTGCAACCAACCCTCCTGCCCTGGAGCCCCCTCCTGGTTTGGATGAACGTGGCTGCACGAAAATGGCCCCAAGAGGGCCTAGCCACGGGGGCAGAGACGCTGCAGTTTAAGGACCTCACCGCCCGGGTGATGGAAGCACCAAGGCAGGCCCAGGCCATGGGGACACCAAGGGGACAGGGCCCAGGCCACGGGGACACCACGGGGGCAGGGCACCAGGCCACGGGGACGCCATGGGGGCAGGGCACAAGGTCTAAAGCAAGGCCCACGGTGGAGGCAGCTTTGCGCTTGACACCCTGAAGGGCCGGAGAAGAAGGGCCAGAGGGACAGGGCGGTGGACAGGCTCTCGCCTGGCATGCAACCGAGCACGCGTGATCTCCAGCACCCAGGGTGATTCCCCAGGCCCTGCCAGGAGTGACCCCAGAAGTCAGAGCCAGTAGGAAGCCCTAAGCACAGCCAGGTGTGGCCCCCCTATGGTCCCCCCCTCGGAAGCTCGAAGAGACCCACGCGTCCCAATGCACAGCCCGGAGCACGGCCGGCACCTTGGGGCCGAGTCCCAGCACCTGTCAGCCCACTGAGGCCAGCATGTGCCCACCAACCCCTCTGGCCAGCAGTGGCGTCCACGCCACCCTCACCAGCTCCAGGTCGTGCAGCTTGGACTTGAGCTGCAGGTTGTCCTTCTCCAGCTCGTGGACCTTGTCGCTGCGGGCCCGGGCCGCCGTCAGCTGCTCCTCCAGCATCGCTTTGGTCTCGATCAAGATGATGTTGTCTTCCCGAAGCTCCTGGGGGCCACAGAGCGAGGGAGGGGCTGCATATGGCGGCAGGGGGTCCGGGGAAAGACCCCCGCGGAGCCCCCAAACACACACACACTCTTGCACATGCATGTACCACACACATACATGCACACACATACACACAATGTACACACACGCACACATGATACACACTCACACGTACACACACGCACATGCATGTACACATGATACAAACACACATGCACACGATGCACAAACTCACACGTACACACATGCATGCACACATATACACACGACGGACATGCTTGTGTACACACACACATACATGTGATGCACACTCACATGTACACGCATGCACACAGATCCACACAACATGCACACATGCATGCACACATACACATGATGCACCCTCACATGTACACACACAAATACGCCTGCACCACTCATACATGATGCACACACACTCACATGCACATGCACGCACACACATAAACACACACACACACATACACACACACTCTCTCTCTCTCCTCTCCTCACCCCACCTCCCATCAGACTGCAGCTGGAGGCTGACCCTCCTTGGGGCACCCATGCCGATTCGTTCTGTGGGCTCTGCCGGCAGCAGGAGAGGGACCCCACGTCCCCAGAGAAGCCCCCACTTGGGAAAGGGAATGATGCCAGGGCCCAGCATCTATGGGTGGCGGCGCTGACCGCGAGGCCCCGTGGGCAGGACGGCTGCACCGGCCACCAGGCGAGTGGGGGCTTTTCCTGACGGTGGGGGGTAGTGGGTGCTGAGTTTCCCCGGCTCCTGGGCCCAGTCAGCTGCTCCATACAATGTCCCGGCCAGCAGCGGCCACTTGGGGAAGCCCGTTTCCCGCCTGGGGGGGGCTGGCCCGGTCCTTCACATGCACAGCCCTGGGAGGGCCCAGTGCTGAGCAGACTCTTGGGATCGGGGCGTTCAGAGCCAAAGCCCTGAGGGACCCTGGGATCCTCTGCTCAGCCACCCCCACCCAGACCCTTCGGCACACCCTGGTGTCCTTCCCCACAGCCCTTTTCCACAGCAGACTCCTACTCAGCCTTCAAAACCCCACCTGCGCTGCCCAGTCTAAACGCTTCCGAACCCGGCCACCTTGCCTGTGCAGAGTCAGTCACGTGTGTGTGTGGACTTCCCGTGAGGGACCCAGGGGCACTGGCCTGTCTGCACCCCGACCTGTGAGATCCTCGGGGCAAACCCATCCCTTGCTATACTCTGTGGGTGTTAAGGGAGTTGGAGTAACCCTTTGTTGGCCAAATCGCAGTCCTGGGTGGGCAAGGGGAAGTGGGAGTAATTGTAGCTGTGGACTGTGTCCTGCAGGCTTTGGAGAAGTTTTGGTTTAGGGTCACGCCCAGCGGTGCTCGGGGACTGCTCCTAGCTCTGCACTCAGGGATCATCCCTGATGCTGCACGAGGACCCTATGGGGTGCCAGGCATCGAACCCGGGTCGGCTGTGTGCAAAGCAAAGGCCTTCCCTGCTGTGCCCCTGCTCCGACCTCAGGCTTTGGAGACCCCTGGGGCCGTGCCTACATCTAGGACTAAGCCCCCTTTGCCCGGATAGCCCCCTTGACCCACGCCCTCGACCCACAGTCAGGGAGCTGCCCTGGAGTCAGGCTGCAGGAACCTCGCCCCTTTCACCTAAAAAGACTCATGAGGATGGGAACAGTGCTCTCCCATGGCCCTGTTCCCGCCCTGGCAACGCTAGGAAAGCACAAAGAAAAAACGGAGAAAGTGCCTGTCCATGCGTGCCAGTGCAGCCACCGACATCATGGGCGTGGGGGGGGGGGAGGGTGACAGGAACGGCGGGCTGGGGGGGCCGGGCACACCCAGTGAGCTGCGGGCACGCACCTCCATGCGGGCCCGGTAGAAGTCCACGTCACGCAGCCGCTCCCGGCAGCGGCCAAGTTCCAGTTCCAGCCGCTCCACACGGGCCGCCTTTTCCCGCGTCGCATCCAGCTCATCGCGGTAGGTCCGGGCCGACCGCGCCTCGGACGACAGCTGCACATTCTGCAGGGTTCAGGGTCCTAAGCTCAGGGGCCCGAGTTTAGGGGCCGAACTCAGGGGCTGGAGTTTATTTATTTATTTGTTTTTTGCTTTTTGGGTCACACCCAGCGATGCTCAGGGGTTATTTCTGGCTCTGCACTCAGGAATTACTCCTGGTGGTGCTTGGGGGACCATACGGGATGCCGGGGATCGAACCCAGGTCGGCCGCGTGCAAGGTAAAAAACGCCCTACCTGCTGTGCTATCGCTCTGGCCCCCAGGGGCCAGAGTTTAGAAGCCGAGCTCAGGGGCCCAAGTTTAAGGGTCTGAGCTTCGGGGGGGGGGGGGGGGGGCCAGAATTCAGGGATCAGAGTTTAGGGGTTGAGCTCAAGGGCCTGAGTTTTTGGGGCCCGAGCCTAGAGACCAGAGTTTAGGGGCCTGAGTTTAGGAATCTGACCTTAGGGACCAGTGTTTAGGGGCCCAAGTTTTGGAATGGAGCTTAGGACGCAGTCCTCCCAAGAAGAGAAGCCCTCCCCCGCCCCCCCCCCCAGTCCCCATGTTGGTCACAAACACTCCCCCACCAAGCGGTGGGGCCACTAAGACCCAGAGGTCCCTCCACAGCCTCTGGGCAGTGTGGCTTGCAGACAAAAGTCTTCCTTGCAAGAAGCAGAGGCCTGGGCCACAGGCGATCCACCTGGGTCTCCCCGGGATCCGGGTCTGTTCCCAATGTGTCTCTCACCTCCTGCTTGATTTTCTGCAGTTCCAGCACTAGCTGGTCCACCTCGTGCCTGGTGTCCACGAGCTGCTCCGTCTTCTCCTCCCTAGAGGAGGAGGCCAGGCAGTGAGCTGGGGGTGTGGAGAGGGGACCTCGAAGGGGGGGGGGGGTGTCACTGCTTGAGACCCCCGGGCACTAAGATAGCTGCAGGATGGCAGGGCCAGGCGCGTGCCCGGCTGTGTGCGCGGGGGTGGTTCCTGGGGCCCTGCCGTGGCCAGTGACACGGGGGAGCCCCCAAACCCCTCCAGAACCTTCTCCTGAGGTCAGAGGTATCCAGGTCCCGGGGGACCCCCAGCAGGAAGCGTGCGACTCCCCAGCCCCCTCTCCCCCCCAGGGTGCTGGCCCAGGACTCACAGCTCCTGCCGGGCACGGCGCAGTCTGGCCTTGGTGTCGGCCAGCTCCACGGCCAGGTGCTGCTTCTCCTCGCTGGACAGGCTGCTGGGGCTGGGCGTGGACTCGGCACTGGGCGGCTGGAGGGGGCTGGGCGGGTGATGTGCCTGCAGGTAATCCCGCTCCTGCGTCAGGTCCACAATCATCTAGAGACGGGGACACAGGGGCTCTCACCAGCACAAGAGGGGCGGCAGGGGCGTGTCCACTAGGGAGGGTCCCCAGGCCAGGCCGGTCCTTCAACTCCCCACAGGTGTCCTGGAAAGTGCCCACGTGCATGTTGTCGCCTCCACCAGCAGAGGGACTGGGGGGAGAGACAAGACACCCAGGGTCCCCGCCCAGCCTGGACCTTGCAGCCCCCGAGAGCTGCCGCCGCGCCTGCCCTCACACCTCCGTGCACTCGTCCCGCTCATCGATGAGCCTCCGGAGGTGAAACACCATGTTCCTCGACAGGGCCTCCAGTTCCTCGGGGGCCACATCGGGGAGTTCTAGCCACTGAAGGTCGAACACGTTCTCCTGGTTTTGGGTCACCTGGGGACACAGAGGGGATATCCTACAGAGACCAGACACATGGCAGAGGGGCCCAGCAGAGACCCCTCCACGGTGACCGCATCCTGCCGGACACTAGGGTCCTGCGGGTGCCCAGTGTCAGTGGCGAGCCCAAGTCCTCCACTTCCGCTTATAGAAACCACTTCCGCTTACTGCACGGGGTCAAAGAGGCCACCGGGTTTTGTGTGAAGTCCCAGGAAACACTTGGCACTAGTGTGTTACTAGCAGAGTATTTTCCTACTCTGCAGTCTGAGTACTCAGGGATCAGTACTCTGCCGCAACCCGGCAGAGCTGGGGATCCACCCCACGGCCTCAGGTGGGCAAGGTGTGAGCTCTGCCACTCGGACACATCCCAGCCTGAGCCTCAGCTGGAGTCACCTGGGTAGTGCTCAGGGCTTAGTCTTGGCTCTGCAATCAGGGACCACTCCCGGCGGTGCTCAGGGCTTAGTCCTGGCTCTGTGCTCAGGGATCACTCCCGGCGGTGCTCAGGGCTTAGTCCTGGCTCTGCAATCAGGGACCACTCCTGGCGGTGCTCAGGGCTTAGTCCTGGTTCTGCACTCAGGGATCACTCCTGGCGGTGCTCGGGGCTTAGTCCTGGCTCTGCACTCAGGGATCACTCCTGGCGGTGCTCAGGGCTTAGTCCTGGCTCTGCACTCAGAGATCACTCCTGGCGGTGCTCAGGAGCTTTGTCCTGGCTTCTGTGCTCCTAGAAGTGCTCAGGGAGCCGGGTAGGGTGCTGGGGTTGACTAAACCTGGGTGGACCATGTACAAGGCAACTTATTGGCTCTACCATCACTCCAGCCCCTCCTGGTGTCTCTTTATTTATTTGCATGTTTGGGGGCCGCCCCCCGCTGTGCTCAGGGATCACCCCTGGAGGGGCTGGGGGACCAGAGGGGGTGCCCGTGTGTACCAGGCAGGCGCCCCACCCCCTCTCCTATCTCTTGCTAACAGGAGACATGGGTTTACAACACAAAGGAGGGAAGCCCTACAGGGCCCCACCCGCCTCTCCCAGAGCCTAATGCAAATGTGGCTAAAAGGTTAGCAATCCTGTCACGTCATGTGACACCTGAGGCTCTGTTTGGGGAAAACTCTCAAGTCCACACAATATCCAGGTGAGCCCTGTCTGGTTCCCACAGGCCACAGGAGACCGCCTGGCAACTCTCTCCTCTCTCTCCCCTCCCTCCCTCCCTCCCTCCTTCCCTCTCTCTCTCCTCCCTCTCACCCTCCTTCCCCCTCCTCCCTCTCTCCCCCCTCCTCCCCCTCTCTCTCCCCTCCTCCCTCTCTCCCTCCCTCCTCCCTCTCTCTCCCCCTCCTCCTTCTCTCCTTCCCTCCTCTCCCCCCCTTCCTCCCTCTCTCCCTCCCTCCTCCCCCTCCTCCCTCCCTCCTCCCTCTATCTCCCCCTCCTCCCTTTCTCCTTCCCTCCTCTCTCCCCCCTCCTCACTCTCTTCTTCCCTCCTCTCTCCCTCCCTCCTCCCTCTCTCCCTCCCTCCTCTCTCTCCCCCTCCTCCCTCTCTTCCTCCCTCCTCTCTCTCCCCCTCCTTCCTCTCTCCCTCCCTCTCTCTCCTCTCACTTCTCTTTCCCCTCTCCCTTTCTCTCTCTCCCCCTCCTCTCTCTCTCTCTCCCCCTCCTCCCTCTCTTTCTCTCTCACCACGGGAGCCCCCCTTTCTATTTCTGTCCCAGACTTGCTCCTGGTCTGAAAAGAGAAGCAGCAACAGCAACACACGCTGGAATTGAAAGGGGAAAGCGAGAAGCAACTGGCCAGCCATGCTCAGGCGGCCCAATCCTTCCCGCGCAAGAGAGCGGAGATAAGGAACGAGGCTCAGAGACACGGAGCAAGACGGGAGCCCTGGGTCTGACCCCCGGCACTGCCCTCGTGCCAAGCCCAATGCCAGGGGGCCGCCGTCTAGGACATGCAGTGGGACAGATGTGGCACCCCAACCCCGGGGCCGTCAAAACAAGAGAGAGAAGGACAAAAGCAAAAGTACAGCAGGGAGGGCGTTTGCCTTGCACTCGACTGACCCGGGTTCGATCCCAGGCACTCCATAAGGCTTCCTGAGCATCGCCAGGAGTGATCCCTGAGCACAGAGCCAGGAGTAAACCCCGGGTATTGCCGGTGTGGCCAAAATATAACAAAAATCAAACAAAAAAGGAAAAACAGAGCAGCAGAAAAGCAACAATGGGGGCTGGAGAGATGGTACAGTGGCAGGGCACTTGCAGGGGCAGCCCGGCTCCATCCACCACACATGGTCCATCCCCCGGACCCAGCCCTGCCAGGAATGATCCGTGAGTGAGCACTGCTGGGTGTGGCCCAAAAGAAACACTAGAACTCTGGGGCCTTAGGGCTGGAGCAATAAGCACAGCAGGTAGGGCATTTGCCTTGCATGCAGCTGACCCGGGTTCGATTCCCAGCATCCCATATGGTCCCCCGAGCACAACCAGGAGCAATTCCTGAGTGCAGAGCCAGGAGTAACCCCTGAGCATCACTGGGTGTGACCCAAAAAGCAAAAAAAAAAAAAAAAAACCCAAAACAAACAAACAAACAAAAAACCCAAAAAACAACAACAAAAAAAAAACAACCAGAACTCCCCACCCTTAGCAAAATAAAATTCTTTTCCTAATCCTTTCCTACTTAGTGTGGGCACCCTTCCGGGGACCCCCGTCCCCAAGGCCAGGGAAAGCCCAGAGGCTGGGATGCACTTCCATTACTTATTTTTGTTTGGCATCCACAGTGGTGCTCAGGGGATCGTATGTGGTGCTGGGAATCAAACCCGGGTCAGCTGCATGCAAGGCCAGTGCCCTACCCACTGCACTATACCTTTTTTTTGCTTTTTGGGTCATACCTGGCTATGCACAGGGGTTACTCCTGGCTCTGCACTCAGGAATCACCCCTGGGCGGTGCTCAGGGGACCATATGGGATGCTGGGAATCGAACCCGGGTTGGCCGCGTGCAAGGCAAACGCCCTACCCGCTGTGCTATTGCTCCAGCCCTGCACTATACCTTTTAATCCTGAAATAGATTTTCTTTCTTTTCTTTCTTTCCTTTTTTTTTTTTAAAGCTTTTTGGGTCACACCCAGCAATGAGGGGTTACTCCTGGCTCTGGATTCCAAGTCAGCCGTATGCCAGACAAACACCTTACCCACTGTGCTATCTCGCTGGCTCTCTGTTTATGATCTATTAGTGTCTTATTTCTTTTTCATTAGTTTTTAAAATTTTTTTTTAATGTTGGGGGGGGTCACACCCAGCAGTGCTCAGAGGTTACTCCTGGCTCTGCACTCAGGAATCACTTTTGGTGGTGCTTGGGGGGACCCTATGGGACGCCGGGGATTGAACTCGGGTTGGCCCCGTGCAAGACAAACGCCCTCCCTGCTGTGCTAAGGCTCCAGCCTTTGATTTTCTTGGAAGGTAGAGCAGTTCTAGGCTAACAGGCTGTGTCTCTGACAGGGACGGCCGGGAAACGCCCAGACGGCCTTAGCTCTGGTGTCTCCAAGGGGACCCCGGCCCCCCACAAGCTGCATCTGTCTCGGTTCCCGACCCTCATCACACCCCCCACCTGTGGTGGGCGTCGGAGGACCGCACTGCCCACCAGTGCCCAGGGCTTCCCTTCCTCTGCCCAGTCTGGGGGGGGGGGGGGCTGAGACACTGGTATGCTGGGGGTGGGGGTCAGTCAAGTCCACTTTGGGGGACGGGGGTAAAGGAGACTGGTTTGGAGCCATGCCCCATAGTCCTCGGGGCTTACTCCTTGCTCTGTGCTCGGAAGTGAGCCCTGGCAGGGCTGGGCTGGTACCAGGAACCCGAACTCCTGCTGCGCTCTCTCTCCAGCCCCCCCAAAGTGCATCTCTCTGAGCTGTGTTCCCCCCCCACCCCCCGTGGTGGCGTCCAAGAAAACTGCTCTCTCCATGGAGAGGCTGCCCCAAAGGTCAAGGTCAGGGGGTCAGGGGTCAGGGCCACCCAGTGTGTGCCAGCACAAGGAGTGGCGCCATCTCCCCGGCACAGCGGAATCCGTCACTCCCCAGGATCCAATTTCGGGGTCTGTAAATCACTCAGAGCCTGCGCCCAAGAGCGCCTGACAGCGCCGTAAAAATATCTTCCTGCCCATATTAGGCAGGAAGGGGAGCGAAAGACACTTGATTGAGGCGCGTCTCTCTCGGTGGAAATCTTTATTTTTACCCCGGCGCTGCTGTTGCCCGAGGCGCTCCGGGACCCCCAATCTGTCCCCCTGCCTACCTCCTGGATGTGGGCCACGATGCCCGCCTGCGTCTCGATGTCCAGCTGCTTGATCCTCTCGATGAACTCCTCCTTCCTCTCGCACTGCGGGAGGGGTGGGCGAGTGAGGCCCCACCCACCCCGCCCACCCAGGAAACCGCCCCCCCCCAGGCCAGTTTGTGATCAAGCGCCCTCCTTCACAACCAAGGACAATCTGTACCTGAGAGCAGCTAGAGCATGACCCTGAGGGGTGGGGGGGGGTGGGGGGGGGTGGGGGGGGTGGGGGGGGGCGGGAGGTCCTGGTGAAAGCGTCTCCCCTCAAGAAGGGCGAGCACCCCGCCAACTGTCCTCACCCGGTGGGAGTGAGTGTGGACACTGGGCCTGGCCGGGTGGGGTTTAAGCTCAGTCACAGGTTACCCTAGGGGGATTGGCGGGCGAGGTCCTCACCCAACTTCCCTTACAAGAACAAGGCCAGCACACCTGCCCCTGGGGGCTGACCCCGGCTCTAAGATCAGACTCCCACACTTCTGCCAGCCACTGCCCACTGCCTTCCTGCCCAGGAGGCACAAGAGGAGAAAGCACCCCCAACAACTGCACCAGAGGCAGTCCTGGAATGTCCCAGCACCCCACCCCAGCCCTGCCCCTGGGAGGAGGTCACCCTTCCCGGTCCCACTCTACAAAGGGCAAAAGGGAACTCACCTCAGGGCTGCCCAACCCCTCTCTCATGCCCGAGAACCCAGACACACACACACACACACACACACACACACACAGAAACACACCAGCACAAACACCCATGTATGCACACATACATGTACACACACATGCACACACACACTTGCACACAAGCATGCACACACCCCGTGCACGTACACACATGCATATAGGTACTCATGCACACCAACACACATGCACACACACACTCATATACACATGCACCTGGACGCACACACAGACCCATACCCACGCACACACAGCAACACGCATACACGCATGCACACGAACATCCCCCCCATGCACACACCAACCTGCACGGCACAGCCCAGCACCAGCAGCAGCACCTTCTTGATCTCGTCCATGCTCTTCCCTGAAAGACAGAGAGTAGAGACTCAGCGACACAGTGCTCGGCCCACACTCCCAGCCCCGTCCGCTGCCACCCACGCTTCCTGTCCTCTTTTCGGTTCTATCTGGGGGCCACACCCGGCAGTGTTCAGGGAACCACACAGCACCGGGACCAAACCGGGTTCAGGTCCACAGAGACCCATGCCTCCACCCTCAGACTTGCTCCCCCGCCTCTCAGCCTCTTCCTGCTAAGGGGCATCCACGTCCCTCACTCTGTCCATCTCGGGAACGGAAATACCCCCAGGAGCGAGCCTGTCCCCAGGGCCTCTCTGCGGGAGGGCACTAATCTCAACAAGCACCCACACAGCGCCCTGCCCTCCGCCTGCCGCAGTGCCCCGGGGGCCGCCGGGGGTCCCCTGGACACAGTGTCTCCGCCGCCACCCGCCCCCTTCCCACACACGTGCATCTTCCGGGGCCTCCAGACCCGCAGCTGTAGCCTGCTGGGACGGGTGGGTTCGAGAAAGGAGAAGGGGGTCTCTCCTCTGGGTGCGGGGGAGGCCAAGAGCCCACGGGGGCTGGGGAGAGGCGCAGTGGGCAAAGCCTGACACTCCCGCACAGGCCCGGACTGACTGCGCACAGCACGGTCCCCCACTGAGTGCCCAGTACCACAACCTTTCCCGGGTCTCGGCACACGGACACAGCAAGTCCCTGGGGCCTGAGCTGGGGCAAAGGCCAGATATGGGGAAGCATGCTCGCCCGGCTCAGCCCTGCACACTGGGCTGCTTGTGCGGATGGGCAGGACAGCTCCCACACCCCGCCCCACACATATTCACACACACACTCGCCCAAATACATACACACCCCCCAAACATGCGCACCCAAACACACACACACGCATGCTCACACCCGCCCAAATACACACACACACATACACAAGCACCCAAATACACACACACCCCCCAAACATGCGCACCCGCACCCAAACACACACACACATGCTCACACCCGCCCAAATACACACACACATACACAAGCACCAAATACACACACACCACCAAACATGCACACCCAAACACACACACACACATGCTCACACCCGCCCAAATACACACACACATACACAAGCACCAAATACACACACACCCCCCAAACATGCGCACCCAAACACACACACACATGCTCACACCCGCCCACACACACACATGCTCACACACAAATACACACCCCCCAACACACACCCCTAAATACACACACCCCAAACAGACACACACAAACACACACACACCCAAAACACACATACATCCCCCACCCACCTACCGATACATACACACACACCTATACACCCATACATATATCCACCCATCTGCCCGCACACCCATCCATTCATCTACCCACCTACCCATCCCTCACCCACACATCCACCATCCACGCACCTATGCGATCACATCCACCCACCAGCCCTGAAAAAAAATGAAGCAAGCGAGAGAAGGAGAGAGGCCAAGGGAAGTCCACTGCTGATCTGCTGGGGAACATGACTGAAAGGGAACGTTGGGCCTGAGAGACAGTGAGGGGAAGGCACTTGGGCTTACATAGGCAAACCCAACTAGATCCCTGGCACCCACATGGCTCCTGGGTGTATTTCCAAGGCCCTCCAGGAGTGATCCCTGGGAGCAAGCCCTGGACACCCCGGGTAGAGCCCCCAAACCGAAAATAAAATGAACCTCGGGGAAGACCATGGTGCTAGGAAAGCTCTCTCTTTCTCTCTCTCTCTCTCTCTCTCTCTCTCTCTCTCTCTCTCTCTCTCTCTCTCTCTCTCTCTCCACTTCCCCCCACCCTGCATGCACGTGCAGGAGCCAGCTGTGCAGCCTGACAAGTGCTTCTAGAAGACATGCTGTGTGTGTGTGTGTGTGTGTGTGTGTGTGTGTGTGTGAGACAGAGAGAGAGAGAGAGAGAGAGGAGAGAGAGAGAGAGAGAGGAGAGAGAGAGAGAGAGAGAGAGAGAGAGAGAGAGAGGGAGATTCCATTTCTCATGGGATGCCGGTGCCCATTTCTTCCCATGAATCCATCACGAAGAACTCTTATTTCCAGAAAGCTGGCAGATTGTGAGTCCTGAATGGTTTCTAAACACGCCAGACGCCTGTCCCCCTGGGTCCCCGCCAGCAAGGCTGGCCTGGGACACACTTCAGCAGGCAACAAAGCAACAGGCGGGCGGGCCCCTCCCCTCCGCACCCCGTTCGTCCGCTGGCGGGGGCTTGGAACAGGATCGTCCACTTCAGGGAGGCCCACGCTGCCCCGTGCAAAAGGGGGTACACAGGGGGCCACCGGGCGGGCAGATGGGATCCCGCAAGGATCCTGAGAGGAGAAGCCCCAGCAGGGGTGGGGGGATCGAGCCTGCAGAGGCCCAGAGGGACAGGACAGTAGAGAGACCAGCTCTGGGGGCACCGTTTCCAGAGGAAGAGGGCAAGGGAAAGGGGTGGCCAGGGGGGCTGCCCAGGGAGTCAGGTGACTACTGGGAGGGGGAGGGTCCAACACACCCCCCCCCCGCACATGGGGGGAGCCCCCTGACTTGCACTGACAGGCAAGAGGGAGTCCCAGAGCCACACGTGCTTTACTGAGCACTTGCTACAGGAAGTCCTGGTGGAGATGCACGCTCACGCCAGCCTCTCAGCACAGGATGGGTCCGGGACAGAACGTTGCCCCCCGCACATGTGGGTACTGGTCACTGCCCCACAGGCCGGCGGACACAACCCCCAGCCCCCCAACACACAGTCACAGTTTCTGAGCAGGGCCAAAACTGTTTTTATTATTCTGTTTCTTACTAGGGGTGGGACTGGGCGCCGTGGGCAGTGTTCCGGGCTCACTCCCCGAGGGCCTCGGGAGACCCTCGTGGTGCTGGTGCAGAATCCAGGTTGGCCACAGGCCAGCACCCTAAGCACCCACCACCCCCTCCATGCCATCTGCCCAACTCTCGCAGCCGCATTTCAGCCCCGGGGGGTTCCACATGCCAGCACTGCAGAACCCCGAGCACTAGGCCCTGAGCACCACTAGTTATGACCCCCCGCCAAAACAAACAAACAAAAATACTGCAGGACGGGGCTGGAGCAATAGCACAGCAGGCAGGGCGTTTGCCTTCCTAGCAGCCAACCCGGGTTCGATTCCCAGCATCCCATAGGATCCCCTGAGCACTGCCAGGAGTAATTCCTGAGTGCATGAGCCAGGAGTAACCCCTGAGCATCGCCGAGTGTGACCCAAAAAGCAAAAAAAAAAAAAAAAAAAAGCACCACAGGAGCAGTGAGTGTCACCCAAGCTTGGTGTCACCCAAGGCACTGCAAGATCCCTGTGGGTGGGCGCCGGGGGAAACTTCACTGCACCCCCCCCCGGGCCGGCCCGCCCCCCCGCTCCCCAAGCCCTGACACCCAATGGACGACAGGGGACCCCAGAGGCTCGCAGAAGCAGTCCCCCCCGCGAGTCGGAGTCATCCTTCACCCGCCAGTGGCTGTGCAGCCAGACTGAGATGCCGGGGGAGGGGGGGGTTCCCCACTACTCCCCCAAGGCCAGGTCCCTCCCCAAGCCACAGGGGCGCACAGCAACAAAGCAGCCTGTCAGCCCCCCATAAAACGAGGCTGGACCCCCACAGGAGGGGGGAGTGAGAGAGTGAGTTTCCCCGCAGTGGGGGAGAATTAGCCCAGATCAGCCCCCCAACACACACACACACACACACACACACACACACACACACACACACACACACCTTTGACAAACAGCAGCTCATCCTTCCTCCTCCTCCTCCTCCTCCTCATCCTCCCGGGGCAGCCGAGGCCACAGGGGCCCGTCTCCTCGCTGGACGCCATGGCCAGGCGAGCTGCTCTGTCGCTAGCCAGCAGAGCAAACACTGTGGTCTCCAGGCAGGCCTGCAGGCGAGCATTGCACCCCACGGGGAGGGCGCCTGAGGCCATGGGGCGCTCCAGAGCAGAGCACTGGCCAAGGCTGCAGTCCCCTGCAGTCCAGGGCACCTCCGGAAACTGGTCTAGGCAGGCGGCCACAGGAGCAGGACAGCCCATGCGTCCCATAGGGTCCCTGAGGACCGCCAGGAATGACTCCTGAGTGCAGAGCCAGGAGGAGCCCCCTGAGCAGCACCAGGTGGGATTCCTGATCCCCCGCCAGAAAAAAAGTGCAGTGTACAGGGGCTGGGGAGTGGCCCTTTGCATGCAGGCGTGAGGTCCCAGCTCAGTGCCTGGCACCACACAGCCCCCCCCACCCAAGAGCACCCCTGGGTGCATGGTCCCCCAGCACTGCCGGCAAGCAGCATAGCGGAAGGTCTGCAGAGCCCGGTAGGGGCAGGGCCAGTGCCCAGGGCACGGGCAGTCCTGGGGAGACCCTCCCCACAGCCAGGCTCTGTCTGAGGCACACACCGAGGGGTCTGGAGAAACGCTGGGGGCGGGGTGTGGAGGAGACCCCCAGGCTGGCCTTGGTTCCTGATGAACTAGATTGAGCCCCGCCCTCAGAAGGCCCAGGGAGGCGCCCAGGGCAGGAGACCGGCTCCCGGAGGGGGGGGTGGGATCTGAAAGACCAACCAGGCCAGCCAACGCCAAGCGGGTTAAATATTAAATCCGCACGCCTCTCAGGCCTGGCTCCCTCGGGCCTTTGAAAGTAAAATCCCAGCTGTCACGGAAGACGGAGGACTTCCTCCTGCACCTGCCACTGGGGTCACCTGGCACAGTTCACTATCCCACCTTCCCTCCCCCCCAGCCCCCCAGCAAGGTGGAGCGCTGCCCACATACCGCCTCCTCCAGGAAGTCTTCCTGGCCTGGGTCACACCCCCCATTCCTCCTCCCCTCCCATGGCTCGGAGCCCAGCTCCGCCTGAAACAGACTCTGCTCTCGAAGATGCTGCTGCCTCTGCCCCTTCCCAGGAAGAGGAGAAAGGGTGTGAGAAGGGTGTGGGAGCCTCCTGTCTGCAGGGCAATCCCCCCTACACACACACACACACACACACACACACAGGAGCTGTCCACTTCCTCCCCCAGCCAGAAGAGCTACAGTGGGAGGGACAGAAGCCCCAGCTGTTGGTCTGTTCCCAGCAGCCCGTTTGTTCATCAATCACCCTGTTGGGGGGTGGGAGGGGTCAGGCACCCGTCCAGCCACGCTCCCAGGCTCCAGCTGAGCTCACAGACCAGCCCCAGGACACCTGCCTGGCCCACCGAGTTCCCCAGCACCCCATATGGTCCCCCCAAGCATCACCGCGAGGAACTCCTGAGTGCAGAGCCAGAGACGGCGGTGAGCACCACTGGGTGTGGCAAACAGAGAAAAAAAATGAGAGAGGAAAGAGCCACAAGCTGTTTGTTTTATTTATTTTTTGGTTTTGGGGGTTTGTTGTTGTCGTTTTGGGCCACACCCAGCGAAGCTCAGGGGTTCCTCCTGGCTCTGCACTCAGGAATTACTCCTGGAGGTGCTTGGGGGACCATATGGGACGCCGGGGATCGAACCCGGGTCGGCCGTGTGCAAGGCAGATGCCCGACCCGCTGTACTAACACTCCGGGCCCACAAGCTGTTTATTTTATGGTCAAACCAAGAACCCCAGGCCCCGGAGTGGGTCTGATAAGGCCAACAGGAAACAGAGCAAACGGTCCCCCGGCCCCCAAACGCTGGGGCCTGCACACGACAGAGGCGGTTCCTGCAGCATCCAGGGGTGGTCTCGGTGAGGACCGGGCCTCAGTCTGTCCCAGAGGGGTCCTGCAGGAAGACGTCTGCAAACCCAGGACCTCCCCCGCCCTTGCCCCCCCACACCCAGGAAGGCCAGTGAGAGGTTGTAAGGTCCAAGGGTGGGTTAGAAGGAGCGGAAGTGGGAAAAGGTGTCATAGACGCTTTGAGGGGGTCCGGAATGATAGCACGGCAGGTGGATATTGGCCCTGCATGTGGCCGACTGGGCTCAATCGCCAGCACCCCATGGGGTCCCCCAAGCCCACCAGGAGTGATTCCTGAGCAGGGCCAAGAGTTTAAGCCCTGGACACCTCCGGTGTGCCATGGGGCCCTCCAAAGAGCCTGACCTTCTAGCTGAGAGGTGGCATGCCCCGCAGGGGTGCCGATGTCCATGGTCACCAGGGGACAGCCCCCGGGCCACTGATTGCACATTTAGCTGAGAGTCCCGAAGCCACGTTAGGCAGGGAGAGACCACGTGCCATTAACTGCTCGCACAGTAGGAAGAGTCCACGGTGAGTGGGAAAGCCCATGTACCACTGATCCACGGTTAGTGGGGTGAGTTCATGTGCCACCCAGTCCACGTTTAGTGGGAGACCCACATACCACCCAGTCCACGTTTAGTGGGAGACCCGCATGCCACCCAGTCCACGTTTAGTGGGAGACCCATGCGCCACCCAGTCCACATTTAGTGGGAGATCCACATGTCACGGGGTCTCTGTATTAGTGGGAGGGTCCACATGCCACACAGTCCACACATGCTGGGGAGTACACGCATGCCACCGAGGGCACATTTAGTGGGGAGACTCCCTTGCAACCAGGCTCCCAGGCCCCCAGGGACACTGCCCACACCCAGGCCGCAGGAATGGGCTCTGGAATCCACGTCTGAGCTCTCCCACAAGACTGTGTGCGCTCCTGGCACCATCCATGCCAACAGCCACAGCCCTGCAGTCACAGCTGCGGTGGCCGGTCACTCACCAGACAGCGGGTCTTTGCCGATCATCAAGACATTGGGCAGATTCATGACGATCAGCTGCTGGAGGACTTCCTGCAGGGACAAAGGGAAGGCAGAGTCAGTGGGGAAAGCCAGCCCCGTGGGCAGCCCCGCATGGCCAGCACCTACAGTGACCCCTTACACCGGGAAGGGCTCCCCGCGGCATACTTAAACCGGAGGGCACAGGCTGGGGCTCTCTGGTCTGGTGGCCACCAACTCAAGGGGCTGCCTGTGCGTGCAACATGCCCAGGGGGGTGGGACGGGGGTGGCTCCCTCTGAAATGGGTCCCTTCCTATCCCAGCAGCAAAGGCCGCTGTACGGCGTGGACATACGGGGGAGATGACAGAGGCGCCCCCCCAAGCCTTAGAACCTACAAGACAGGGACGGGAAGGATAGTACAGTGGGCAGAGCACTTACTTGGCACATGGCTGACCCGGGTTCGATCCCCAGAACCCCAGACAGTCCCACGAGCACCACCAAGAGTGATCCCTGAGCACAGATCCCAGGGACCCGCGGGCACGGCAAGATGCAAGCTACATGCGCGCGCGCGCACACACACACACACACACACACACACACACACACACACTGCACGGCTCCCCTGGCCTGGCCTCAGCGCTCAACCCAGTCTACGTGTCAACCCAGTCTACGTGCTGTTTTTCAACGCTTCCTGAGTTTTCACAAACTTATCGTGATTCACAGCCGTAAACTGGGCACAGACATGTCCACACCAGAGAACATGCACCCCCAAGGTGGCTTTGCTGCTGCTTTGCCCACCAGGCCCCTTAGGACGGCCACTTCCGGCGCCCCACTGAAAGCCCCACGTGACCCAAACACAGGGCTCCAGACGCTGGGACGCGGTTACCTCGCACCCCTGCTGCCTGGAGCTCTGAGCTGGGGCAGCGGGCCAGCTCCTGGCTCTGTGAGGACGTGGGGAGCTAGCTGAGAGGGGACCACCCCCTGCTGGCACCCGCCACAGAACACCACTGTGGCAGCTGCAGCTGGCGCTGGCCTGCTGGGCGGGCACCTGGTCACAGCAGCGGGACCCAGCAAGCCCGGGGCACACAGCCCAGCAGCCCCACCCCGGCTCCGCACCCCACGTTCCCAAGACAAAAAAGAAAAAAAAGCCTCTGATGCCAGCCCCAGGCAGGGGCGAGGAGGGCGGGTGCTCACTGCAGGGGTGCTGATACCAGCCCCAGGCAGGGGTGCTGATACCAGCCCCAGGCAGGGGTGAGGGGACGGGGTGCTCCAGTGGGCAGGGCGGGTGCTGCCCGTCTCCTCATTAATCTTGCAGCCTTGGGGTAAGAGCAGGGGTGGGGTGCCCCCCTCTGCCTCCCCCTGCAGTCTTGCTGGCTGGTCCTCCAGGAGGCCGCTGGGGAGAACCTGGGGGCTCCTTTCTGCAGGCAAACCTAGGCCATCAGCACCCCGGAAGAAGCCCACCCCCCCCCCCAGAAGTCCACAGAAGCCACGGACGTGAAGTGGGGGTGGAGTCTGGGTTCTCAGGTTCTGCACGGGTCTGGGCTATGCTTTGTAAGGCCTGAAAGGGAACACCCCCCCCATACACACACACTCTCTCTCTCTCTCTCTCTCTCTTAGGACCTGAGATCCATCTCCAGGCATCAGGCGGGCCCCTGCAGGGGTGGGGTGGGCGGTTGGGAGGAGGCCAGGCTCCCTGCTGGGTATGTCTGTCACCCCCACTGACAGTCCCCCCACATCTGTCATGCCAGTCTGCCACCCCCTTCCCCTGCACCTCCCAGTCTCAGATCTGGACCCCAGGAGACAAATGGGGCGTGGGCTGAGGCTCAGGGACATGGCGAGGCCTCCCCTCCCCAAGAGGAAGGGTTCAGGAAGCCCCGAACTCCTCGCAGTGCCCCGAGGGCCCAGCCCAGCTGGGACAGTGTGGGAGACAGCCAATAGCCCCCGCTGACCTGTACGCACCAGACCACCCAGGCAGGCCCCAGGTCACCCTGGTCCTCTGCCTCCCCGAGATGCCCAAGCCTGGCCGCTTCTCAGCCCCATGGTTCTCCCCAAACGCCCCTCTGCGATGTCCAGACTTCCAGGTCCACCAGCCCCACCAGTGCCGTCAAGTCTCAGCGAAGGATTTTTTAGTGACACCCCCCGTGAGGATGTTTAAGGGACTCGAAGAAAGAAGCGGAGCACGGGGAGTCGGCAGAGAAAGTCAGAGAAACCGGGTCAGAAATGCAGAAGTTGTGGGCTGGAGAGATAGCACAGTGGGTAGGGCGTTTGCCTTGCACGCGGCCAACCCGGGTTTGATTCCCAGCATCCCATATGGTCCCCCGAGCACCGCCAGGGGTAACTCCTGAGTGCAGAGTCAGAAGTAACCCCTGAGCATTGTCGGGTGTGACCCAAAAAGCAAAAAAAAAAAAAAAAAAAGAAAAGAAAAGCAGAAGCCTGAGAGAGAGGGGCACTCAGAGGATAGGACACCGCCCGGGAAGGCCAAGCCACTGCCAGTCAGCTGTACATACACACACACACACACACACACACACACACACACACACACACAATTTACTGTGCGACCTCAGGCAAGTCACAAAACCTCTCTGAGTCACACCCTCATGTCTAACAGGACTAGGAAGGCTTCTGCAGAAGCAGAGGTGCACGCACCCCATCTCCAGGAAAGGGCTCACCCAGGGTCTGACACAAACCTTCTAGAAGAACCCGGGGAACCCCGGAAGGAGGGGGCAGGAAGTCACCAGGTGTCTCCACAACGGCTGCCCCCACCCCCCCCTCGTCCCTGCGGGCTGGCATGATGCCCGGGGTGGCACCTAAGGGCGAGGCACCTTATCAGAGGGGAGCCCGGGGCTGCTGGGCGGGGCAGGGGCAGGGCCAGTGCCCATGCACGGTGCCATGGGGCCACCCGCGGGGTGGGGGGCTGGACAGGGACAGGGAGACGAGGGGGGGGGGGGCTTCAGAGCCGCAGGACCAGCTACGGAGAGGGAGACCAAGGCTGAGGGGGGAGCGAGGGAGGAGCGGAGGGGCTGGAACAGGCACCCCTGGGATTTACCACGGGCACAGCTGGGAGGGGTGGAGGGCAGCAGCCCTACGCACGCCTGACACTGCGTGTGCGTGTGTATACTCACATGTGTCTGACACTGTGTGTGCCTGTATGTATGTCCACGTATGCCTGAAACCGTGTGTGCGTGTATGTGCCTTGAGTGTATCCACGTGCACCTCTGATAGTTTTGTGTTCATGTGTTCACACACCTGACACTGTGTGTACATGTGTGTGTGCCCAGCATGCCTGACACACTGCATGTGTGTGTGGTGTGACACTGTGTGTGTGGTGTATGGTTGCATGTACAGGACACTGAATCCACACAAGACTCTGTGTGTGTGCGTGCATGTGTGTGTGTGTGAGAGAGAGAGAGAGAGAGAGCAGAATGTATCTGCATGTGTGAGTCTGTGTCCATGTGGGGCCACCCGGGGACATTCCTTGGTGGCCACAGGGGCTGGCCCAGCCCTGCCTCCTCCCCGGGGTGAATTCTGGGGTGCTGAGCGGGCCAGTGCTCTGACTCACCAGTCGGGGAGTCCCTGTCTGAGTTTTCTGGGGACAAGGGCACAGCGCACAGGCCAGGCCCTCTGCTCCCTGCACCCCTCCAGCCCGTGGGGAGCGGGTTGTGCTGGCTTCCTGTGCACCTGCTGTTTCCAAGGCCTGGCTTGGAGGCCAGGGAGAGGCGGGGCTGCCCCCGGGTACCCACACAGCGTCCACCTGCCCCTCAGCAAGCGGCACCCCTGTCTCACATCCCTGCTGTGCAGAGGGCCGCTGGGTGGAGGGAGGGTCATGGAGACAAGACCCCGGCCCTGATGTGGAAAGGTAGACCCGGGCCACAGCAGGAGGCCCACGGGGCAGGGAGGGCACAGGGAGGGCACACGGGGACAGGGAGAAACGGGCGGGGTCTGTGCTAGGCTGGGGCAGACGGGCTCCAACCCACGGGTCCACCTGCCCCTTCTCAGAAAAACACAATCCTCGGGGCTGGAGCAACAGCACAGCAGCTAGGGCGTTTGCCGTGCACGTGGCCGACCCAGGTTTGATCCCCAGCATCCCAAAGGGTCCCCCAAGCACCGCCAGGAGTTATTCCTGAGTGCAGAGTCAGGAGTAACCCCTGAGCATCGCCAGGTATGACCCAAAGAGCAAAAAAAAAAAAAAAAAAAAAAAAAAAAAAGAAAACCACAATCCTCAACGCCCCGCACCTGAAGTCTCCCTTATATGAACAACCCCTCCAAACAGACTGCACCCACAAGTACCCCCTCCAGCCCCCCGATTCACTCTGGGGAGACCGTGCTAGCATCAAGAACTTCATCTTATGGCAGGAAGCAGAAGGAGGGCCCTGGGTACGGCCGGCCGGATGGGAGCAGGAAGGTTAAGAAACCAGCAAGAGCCCAGCAGGAAGTGAAAATCTCGACCTAGGGCGGCGTTGGGGTGGGGAGTCCTGGCCCCGAAGCTGATGCAATCCCCTGCCCTGCCCAGGGTGGCCTCGGACCACACCCTCTGGGGCCCTCTCCATCCCAGGGTGGTCGTGCCTGGGACCTCAGGGGCTGCCAAGTGTCACCCCACTGCCCCCCACTCTGTACACACAGCCCAGACAGCATCCACCAACCAACTGCCCGCTGGGCCCAGTGAGGGGAGGACTTGGGTCTCTGGGTAGCCCCTGAGCAAACCACCCTCTGCTCCCCGCCCAAGGGTGTACAGAGACTTCCGGGGCCACCTCAGAGAGCCCGGCCCTGCCTCCCTGATGGAGGCAGAGGAGGGAGGCCCTCCCCTCCCCCTACACACACACAAACTCACACACACACACACACACACACACACACACACACACACACATCCGCCAATTCTGCCAACTCAGCCAACGAACCCTTGGGGTTGTCGGGGATACCGTGAGCTAGCAAGGAGACCAAGGTGTAAATAAAGGCTCCACACCCGGAAGCTGGGTGTGAAGGAGAGACGGGGGACGGGCTCATTCAGGGGGGCCCACACAGGCCCCAGCACCAGGCAGCAGCAGGCAGGAGGAGACCCTGAACACTGCCAG